ATTGAAATACAGAAGATAAAAAATCTTTATCTTGCAGATATCATTTCAGGTAGTCTTATTATTATCATACTCATTCAATAGCGTCATTTTTAGTGATTAAATAAAGGATATACCAACGAAAAAACAGGAAGAAAATAATGGTGTACTTTTATTTCTAGACCACTTAGTTAAGTCTCTTGAGGACAAGGATTTGGGGCATTATAACTAACAGAAATTTGGTATATGATATGATATGACATATGTGATTATGTGGGGCGCAGTGGTAAGGGTGTGTGTGCGTGTGTGTGAGAGAGACTGTGTAAATCTGAATTGTTCACATTCAACCTCCGAGCTGTGTGTATACACCTACACAAAAGGTGGATGTGGAGATGATATTATGATGACGTAAAATAATGTTATATGTGTGTGTGCGCGCGTGCGGTTGTGTGAGGGTGGGTAGGGTTAGGGTTAGGGTTGCATACTCGATCCGACCTGTAGGCCTGTACAAAGGGTGGGCTTAGTACTATATGAGGGGATATTTTATATAAGGGTGTATGTGGCCGCAAGCACATGGGTGTGGGTTGGTGTGTGCGTGTGTCAGGATGTCTTATCTGGTTTGCTTACTAAAACCTTTAGTTTTTTAACCTTTTTTTCCCTTTCAATATTTCAATTAGATCAAATTTATTTTGAATTGAATTTGAATTGATTTATTTTTCCACTTTTCATAAAAAATAACTAAATAATATAGACGATATGCATAATAATTTAATAGTTAACATATTAACGAATAACGACATAATAAAAAGTTAGGAGGAAAAAAATCAACAAAAACAAAAGAAGAAATACAGAATAACATTAGACTACACACAAATTAATGTTAATGTGGGGATTATAAAAAGTGATAAACTAATAACATAAGCCAATGTTTGTATTAATAAATGTGTAATTTATATTGGAAAAGATTTGGGGATGCATCTCCCTGACTTTATTTACATGTTAAACAGAACCACTGCCATTTTATTTTGTAAAGTTAGGCAACTGGTCATGATACATGTACTTTTCAAACTTTAATTGGTGACATCAAGCACTAGCTTCTAACACTACTACAGCACAACTGGAACCACTACTACTACTACTACTACTACTACTACTACTACTACTACTACTACTACTACTACTACTACCCTACAGCTACTACCACCATCCCTACTACGGCTACTATTACAATCAACATAACTAATTATAATAGTGTTACTGCTACCACTCGTGGTTGCAAGGGTCACAAGGGGCACAGGGGCACGCACCCTTCGGGGCCCTTCGGTCAAAAAAGTAGGGGGGAATGAGAGAGGAGAAATATAAAGAAAAGTGATAAAAGGAAAAAAGAGAGAAAGGAAACCAAAGGAGAAAAGGCTTGGAAGAAGAAGCAGAAAAAGAAGTATCAACTTTTGTTGCCTGTCAGAGAAGTATTTCCTAGCCAAAACGGCCCATCAAAATGATAATGACCTTACTACCGCTACCACTACTGCTACTACTACACTACTAAACCTGGCAGAAAACTTTAGTAATATTAATAGAATGCTATTTAGAGCGCCGTATTAGCAGCATCGCTATACAAGAAAAGAAAAGAAACCAATAGTTTTGTTATTATAATATACTTCTTAGTTATTAGTAGGGAAACAACGTGACCTATACAAAACATCATCAATAGGTGTCCAGAGGATCCCTTTTTGAATATGATGTGCATATTACCCCCCCCCCCCTCCCCACCTCCACCCCTTACCCCCACCTCCCCACTCCTCCCCGAAAAAACAAACATGGACAGGTGTACAGGGGCGGCCGAGCGACTTCCAAAGTGGGGGGGGGGGCACCAACAAAAAAGGGCACTTTCTGGAGAAAAAAGGGCACCTACAGTGGGAAATCTCAAAGCGAAAATATACAATTTTTTAGACATTGGTATATACCCCTACGTTGTGATTACATTATCAGGGATGATTTCAATATTTGTTTCTCTTCATACATCATACAAGATATCGCTTAAGCATCATACTTTACAGTTGGGTGTTATGTCTGAATATGCATTTACGAGCGAGCGAAGCGAGCAAGAAATTTTTTAAAGATCTGTGAGATCGCAGTGCGAAAAATTACATCTTATAAAGAGGAAAAAAGCCAATCGTGATGGGGTTATAAGCACATTCTCATAACGGAAGACTGAAATGACCTTTGATAAGTAACATAATTATATCATCTTTAAATGCGAGCGAGCGCAGCGAGCGAACTTTGGGGGAAATTGCTCTTAGTCGCTTTAAATAAGGGGCACGTTTAATGATTACATAAAAAGGGGACAATTATCGAAAGGGATAAGACACTTATTAGAAAAGAAAAGGAGCACGTGTCAAAGTACAAAGGATAATTATAAGAGGTGAAAATGAGGCATTTTTTCACCTGAAAAGAGGCACTCACCAGTGATGAAAAAGAGGCGTTTACGAAAATGGGAAATAGGCATTTGTTGACGGAAAAGGGGCACCCATCAGATTTTGATAGGGGCATTTATAAGAGGTGAAAAGGGGATAGGTCCCTTATTAGAAAGGAAAAGGGGCACGTATCATTATTAAAGCTTATCTGCCGTAGTTTACAGGAGGGATTAGAGCGCCCTGCAAGGTCACTGGACAGGTGGTTATCTCATCAACTCAGCTCTCAGTTAAAGGTAAAGACCAGTAATGGTCATGCGATTGCATTGTGAAAGAAACGTTGTGGAATCGATCAGAAAAGGTCGATCATCTAGCATCTAGCATCTGCAAGGTTCTGGAATCATCAAAATGATAAGAAATTTGGCTCATTCTTCGTAAAGTTACAAGCACTATACACAGAAAGATGTATATGGGACTACACTATCTCTCTCACCAGACCATGAGAGAAATAAATTTACCAAATATATGAATTAGTAGGCGGTTTCCCGGCAAATTTTTTATCATCATGTATTAGTCAAAACATATTCTTTCACATGATTGGTAATGAGAGCTTCCATTTCATTTTTTGAAATTGGGGCGTTGCCAATACTGGTCTTTACCTTTAACATAAGAAAAAGAGGATCATGGGGGACCAATGGTCACCGATTAGGCACTGTTTGTTATATAGAGGGCGCAAGTAGCTACAAGTAGTGCAGTGGGCCTTTAAAAGGGGAATTATCAGAGTTGCAAAGGGGCACTGACCAGATATGAAAAGGGGCACTTATGAAAATGTAAAAGGGACACTTATAATAAAGGAAAATGTGCATTTGTTGAATGAAAAGGGGGCACCGTTCAGATTTTTAAAAGGGGCAGTTATGAGAAGGGGAAGGAGCCCTTTCTTTTTAATGGGGGCACTTATCATAAGGAAAAGGGGCACTTATTAGAAAGGGAAAGGGGTAGTTATGAGAAAGGGAAGGAGCTCTCTCTTTTTAATGGGGGCACTTATCATAAGGAAAAGGGGCACTTATTAGAAAATAAGAGGGGCACATGTTAAAATGAAAGGTGTGCTCATCCGAGTTTAAAAAGGGGTAGTTATTAAAAGGAGAAGGGGCACTTCTTACAAAGGAAAAAAGGGGAAGTTGTCAAAGTAAAAGGAGCACCTCTCAGTTTTGAATAGGGCAATTATCAGAGGTGAAGGGGGCACTTATTAAAAGTGAAAAGGGGCACTTCTCGTACCTGAAAAGAGGCACTTACTAGAGATTAAAAAGGGCACTTATTCAAGATAATTTCAAGATTTATGAGAATGGAAAATGGACACTTATTGCAAAGGAAAATGGGAACATGTCGAAGGAAAAGGGGCACGTGTCAAAAATAAAAAGGGCACTCGTCAGAAGTGAAAAGGGGGAAGGGGCACTTTTACTAAGTAATAGGGGCACTTGTCAAAGTAAAAGGGGCACCTTTCCTATGTAAAAGGGGCACTTCGTACAAAATAAAAGGGGCACTTTCCTATGTAAAAAGGGGCACTTTTGGGGTATCTGAAAAAGTGGGGGGGGGGGGCACTGTGCCCCCCTGCCCCCCGGGAGAACCGCCTCTGCAGGTGTATCAATATACATTGATAAACATTTTGGTGATTGATCGCCTTTTATATAAAGCTTTTTTTTATATCTCGATCTCGATTGTTTCATGAAAATAAAGAGCGCCATCACGTGGCGCTACAGCCACAAAAATTGTAATCATTCATTTAAATTTTAGACATCCATTCAAGACTTTAATATTCCAGACTCAGCTGCAAGAGCAGAGGTTCACATAACATATTTACATGTAGATATAAAAGATGAAGAAAAAAAAACATATTATTAAAACTGACATATTTACATGTAGAAAAAAACAATGAACAAAAACAAAAAGGGGGAACACATACAGATATACGAGAAACAAAGACAACAGTCGACTGAACCAGAACTTCCACATAATTATAAACATTTACCTTCAACCCTTTTCAATTATTTACCATAAAAAATGAAATGCAACTTTCTAGGAAAGGATATTTGAATTTTGAAACCCCCCCCCCCCCAAGATCTTATCCAAGACCTAGTGATACTCATGTACGGAACTGCATTTTGATTTTTCTTACAGTCGCTCATGGCGAACCCCCCCCCCCCCCCCCTCCTTTCAAAATGTTTGCTCAGTTACGCCCCTGATTACTGAGTGGCTACTCCTACCTTCCCCAAGATTGCCATCCTTTTCACTGTAACTAAAAAGCTACCACGCTCAATATATAAATTAAGATTTTATTAAATGAATAAACAATTTTACGAATTTTCATCCGATTTTACTCATTTTGCAGAATACAGTGCACTGTAATTTGTTGTCATTTGTTTGAGTCGGACTTATTTTTGCGTAACATTTGACTTATGTATGGAAGTAATGCTCCACCGGTCTCACGTGTACTTTATCGTTTCGTACACTACATGCGCTTTACATGCATGCACATTATGAATCCGAACTTTCTGGATGCTACCAGTGTATTCAGCATGCACGCGCTAGTTATAATGCAGCTGCCCGGTGGAATTTGTTAGATTATTAATGAATGAACTATTGCCCAAGAAGAAACTATATCTCTGCTGCTGTTACTGAAGATAATAAATCGGAATATTTCATCTACTGATCATTTGATAATTCACGAAGAACAACTGGAGTGCAGATAAACGGGAAAGATACTCGTTAATTTGGGGAACGAAGGAGACAAAGAAGATCAGAAATGTCGGTGGTAGGGTTCGATGTCGGTAACCTCTCTTCGTACATTGCTGTAGCGAGGGGAGGTGGCATTGAAACTATGGCTAACGAGTACAGCGACAGGCTTACTCCGTAAGTTTTTTACTCATTCCCTTTCTTTCTTGAGAAATGAAGAACTGAGATAGATCTGGACTTTATGTCTAGACCCAGTTGTAAATTCTATTTTGAGTCTTGCACTGCTTTCTGAACTGAAGTGTGAACATGCTGATTAGCATTTAGAATTTATGAAATTGATGGACAGAGAATATGAATGAGATTTTGAGTGAATGATCGAGTTTGTCTTTTTGGGGGGAAGTCCACCTGATATTAAATTGGTATTAATAGAAGCAGAAAAAGTAGAGAAACAATTCAGTGAAAGTTTGAGAACAATTGGACTTATGAATCTTTCAAAATCATGAAAATCATGGAATCTTGTTGGAGATAAATTGGCAATCACTGCACTAGCAACTGGGCAATGCAGTCAGAAGTTGTGATGTCATCCCCTCATGAATTACTACTGATCTGAATTACAGAATGACCCAAAATCTCCATTTCTGAATGATAATGGAATAGTAAACCTATCGTATACATGTAGGTCTAATTGCTATACCGGTACGTATGATCGAGATAGACATGAAGAAAATACATCTTTTTATCAGGGCCGTAGCCGGAGTTTGATGTTTGGGGGGGCTGGTGAGGGGTCAAAAAAAGTTCAACCGATCTTGGATTTTTTGTTTTTTGTTGGAGGGGGGGAGGGGGGGGGGGGCAAGTGCCCCCCACCCCCGTGGCTACGTGCCTGCTTTTTATCATTTAATGACATTTCTTTTTCTTCCATTCAACAAAGGATAAAATGTGAGGGGTGACATAATTCATATTTAGAAACTGCGTTGCCAATTTGACTCACAGATTTGAAATGTTTCTTGAAAAATTATGGATTTAAGAAATCCATAACTTTCTTATTGATTTTCCCTTCACTGATATGTTCTCCTCACATTTCTCTTTGTATTAAAACAACTTATTATCAGCATGGACTCCCCCTTTAATAATTGTTCGGATGTGAGTTTGAGTTTGCGTCATTTATGATCTTAATATCATTTCAGAATGAAGAGTCTATTTATTGATATCTTTCATTATTTCATTCAGGGGGGGGGGGGGGTGGAGGTTCCAATTAAATTTAAAAGCTCTATCATAGTCAAACTAGAGCTACATCAAATTATAAATCAGGGTGGAAGAATAATAGCTACAGACTTCGCATATGAAATGATGCACTTGTCTTTGACAAGTATCGAGTAAGATTGGGCAAGATGCGTTCAAGATGACTGGAACACTCTTCCTGAAGAGGTACATACCTCACTGCTCTGTGAATGTCTTTAAAGGGCAAGCCCACTCCAAAAATAACTTACTTTCAAGAGAAGCAAACAAATCAGACAAACCAATCAAAAAGCTTTGAGCAAAATCGAAAAAAACTAATAAGAAAGTTATGAATTTTTAATTACATGAAAAAACTTTGTAATTCACAAGACAAATTGGCAATTCACTCATGAGTCCTTGACATCATTGCCTCACTATGCTATCCAGTATCCACTAATTGTTTTCTTTATATTTATAATATAAATTTCCAATTTTCCCCTAAATATCCTATTTCCTTACATCCAAGTTATACTGTATTGGTAGTAATATGTTTTTGTGTGGATGCACTAATGTACATGTAGCATAATTTGTTTTAATTAAATCATGAAAAATGTAAATTTTGATAAAATATTTATATGAAATTCAATGATTATGAATAAACAATATTCAGAAAATAGTATCAATTCTTCAAAGTTGATAAAGATTTTGTATACCGGTACATGTACAAAAAAAAAAAAAAAATGTATGTACATGTACAGTGTATGTGGTTGTTTTAGTGTCATTTTATTTCATACCTACAGTATAGGCTTCATAGGAGGATTATCAACTTGTTACAGCAGGTACATGTACACATGTGTACAGTAGGTATTAAAAAAATCTTCAATGTACATGTAGTTGGAAACACAAGGGAAAAGATACCTTGGACCTGCCCTTGCAGAACTTCATTTTCAATGCCAGCCAGATCTGGAGATTTACTTTTGTTATTTTTGGTTGATGGTACAAGATACCCCGTCCAAGATATTTTATCCTGTATCGTGAAGGCGCCCTTCTACTCTCCCTTTAAATCAGCGTATCATGAAAGAATGACGAGAGAGGTACATTTGTACATGTATGATCTGGTGGGAATTAATCTTACTGTCACTGTCATGAACCGGGAGAATGTTTAAATTTTGACTCTTTGCCCTTGTATATGTCTGTTTGTTTGTCATTCTGTCTGTGGATGTGTACATTAGCCTGGTGTGTGTGTTTTTAATTGTATGCTGTATCATCGGCATGCCAGGAATACCTCTGGTATGCACGGGGGTCGCATTCTCCCTCTCCTGGGGTTAACTCGGAGCCCCATGTCACAGGGTCTATGATCTCTTCCCCTCTTGGCAGTCCCTCATAAGACAGTGTGTGCTATTTTTATTACCATGTAATGTAGCCTTCAAGAACATGGGAGGAACATGTTAGGGCTCAGTTCAATGCAGGCAGGCATCAGGTCTATTAATTGATTCATTTGAAATTGTTGTGTTAGTGGATTACCATGGTGTTTGTGGAAGGAAAGAATGAAATAATTTCATAAATTTTCATTAAATGTTATAGAGAGTGGATACACAATTTTTTGCAGTTTTGTATATAAAGAAATTTCTGAAATGTTTTCAAATAATTATATAAGGTAAATTCAAGGAAACAAAACATGTAAGCACAAATGTTTATAGAGCCAGTCCCAATAGCCAGGTAATGAAATTTATAACTAACTCTTTTCCAAATCAGTCTTTGCATATTACAGGTACAATGTTCTGTAGGTACACGATTTACTACAGCTCTGATAAAATCAGTGATGAAGGCTCATTAGCATGTATCCATGAAAGAGAACTTCAGTGCTGATTTTTTTTCTGATCCCTAAACTTTAGGGATTTGATTTGTGAACAATTTATAATATTTGTTATCAGGTTTATAGTGGGACTGGCCCTTAAGACTTACTGGTACAGTAAGTGCCTGATGAGAAATATACATGTAGTTGTAGTGTCTGTTATACTGATATTACTGATCCTGAAATGGTAGAAGCTTGCAATTCCAGAAACTTAAAATATCTATCAGTACATGTCTGGTAAGTTGGCATATAGTGTTTATGTTTCTAAGAATTCAGAAGTCAGTACTACCTTAAAGGTAATACAAAGTTTTGGTATGGGGTCCTGAAATTGGTTCAAATGAACATATTGAAAGCATATGCGATCCTACAATATTCAGTGATTGTTGTCGCGGTTAAAATTGAGTCTAAAGTGACGAAATTGTAAATAATAAAGTCTCTATGTTGTATAGTTCCCTCTCAAGGTCAAGATATTGATTTAGCTATAAAACAATGATATTTGACTAAAATCAACCGATTTGCTATTACCGTTTGGAATGTATCCATATATCACAACTACATATTCTGAGATTTTCATGGTCCCAGCTACCATCGTATGGCCGTAGGCGCTATTTGAAATTTATCAACATTTACCGGTAGCACTGGCAAATTTATATATTCAATTTTTCTCGAAAGCAGAAGTGTTTTAGGGGCTAATTTTTTTAGTGCTTATGTAATACTTCTACACTGTAAATGGGCATCCAAATTTATAAAAACTTTAAAGAATCACTATCCACCCAATTTTCTAAATTTACCAAAACTTTGTAATACCTTTAACTGATGGCTAATAAGAAGGGAAATTGTCTGTGACCCGCATTTAACAATACTACATGATCGTTTGGAAAATGTATTATAAATGAGCCATCATAACTATTGTTATTCTTTCTTTTTTCTGTCTCTACAGTTCAGTAGTCAGTTTTGGTGAGAAGTCGAGGACACAAGGTCACGCCGCACGCAGTCAGGTAAAGTATGCTTTTAGTTTCTTTGTTGGTGGGACTTTAAGACAAACAATCTATTACAATAGAATATGTTATGACCCACTTAATAATATAAAGATGAGTGGAAATTATTCAGCTGCAGAACTAATGGAAAGCAATTTTCATGATCATACCGCTGAAGTGATGAACTCTATTCCAAAATTTTCAATGCACATGTATAATGTGAAAGAATTACCGTATTTTCCGGCGTAAAGGCCGCAGTATTTTTGGGTGAGAAAAAATCAAAAAGTCGGGGTGCGGCGTATACGCAACACAACAAAATTCAGCGGTCAAAACATCACGTCCATTTGCACGTATGGGACTATAGGAACGGTAGCATGACTAGACAACGGTACAGGACAATTCTAGAATAACTCCACACAACTTACCCACAATTTTATGTTGCATAGTTGACATGAAGACGAAAAAACTTATTTTTCTAATAAAATCTGCCGATAGATCTAGATCTAAGTCCGTACCATTGCATCGCAAAAAGTAAACAAAGGGACAGGCCGTCTTACGGAGCTAGCTGCCGCGCAACGCAACTGCGCAGGTCGAAAAATGCTCTTTCGGATTACACCGCACATCGAGGAAGGGGTATTGTAGGATACCAAATCTGCGTACAATACAGTAACTAGCTTAAAAGTCGATGAAGATCTGCTAAATTATGATCATTTTTTAGGTTAACTTCTTGTTGATTTATAAGAATATTGATGAATTTGGTATAGTTTGTAAAAAAAAGAGTGTTCTACAAGAAAATTACGATCATTTTGTTTGGTCCGTTTTTTTTTTTCTCTCTTTTTTTTTTTTTTTTTTTTTTCTCTCTCTCTTTTTTTTTTTTTTTTCCTCTACGAAATGTCAAAGTTGGGGGTGCGGCCTATACGGCGGTGCGGCCTTTACGCCGGAAAATACGGTAGTGTATTAAATATGGAATAGGCCAGTGGCTTGAGTAGTTGTCTTGGTGTGAGGAGATTGACGTACCTGTACCGTCTGGTTTGTTTAATAGTCATGCTCCGTTTCAGTTTAATAAAATTTGGAGTGGACTATTAGGCTATTATTATTATTATTATTATTATTATTATTATTATTATTAAAGGGCCCGTGACATCGAAATACAAAGTTAGCAAGTTTGAAAAACAAATATTTCAAAAAATATTTAAAAAGCTATGAAACAAATTCAGAAGTTTACATATCAAAATATGAGATGTATGCAGGACTGCACACCGACAGGAATACACTTGTATGTCGATGTCATGGGCCCTTTAACTAACAAACTACAAAGCAGTTACATGTAATCATCGATAGGCCAATTAACTATTGTATCGTATTCAAATACATGTACATGTAAGTGGATGTACATGTACATGTTCAGTGTACTGTACATGTCTCCATCACCCCTTCTTGTACTGCTACTGTATAGTATACATACTGTACATGAATGATACATCATTCAGATACGTACAAGTTCAACTTTAATATTCATAATTTTCCAATGAATAATCTTTTACAAATTCTTAGAAATTATGAATTTGTTAAAGGAATGATAACACACCAAATCGTACTGGGTGTACTTTGTTCTTCACAAACTTAGTACACCTTTTCAAAATAATGTTTTAAGAGATGAAAATTATTTGAGCCTGAATCTGAGGCAAGAAGCTCACACATTCACAGCCGGACTGAAATGAAAGACGGCACGTGAGTCAGGTTTAGACTCTGGATCCCCCTTAATTCATGGGTTTCCTGTATACATTTACAAACCTCTCTGTAGTAACATTTTCATGCAAGCTGGTTTTGAGTTCAGTATAGTTAGCATTGCAAAACATTGCGGAGCTACATGTGTCAATTACATTCATTATGTAGCCATGGCGTTGAACCTTTATTTTTTACATGAACTTAGCAAAATTATTGTCCTGAAGAAATGAAAAGAAGAAATGAAAAGAAGAAGAAAAAGTTCTCTGATCTATACATGCATTTCATTTATTGTGAATGACCATGTAGACATTTTTGTTTTCATCATTGTCTAAACTTTGATGGAATGAAATATTGTTTGGTAGATATCTCTAGATCTATATTAAAATTTAAATTAATATACTGTAATGGCAACAATTTGTTGGCTCAAAGGTGTACCCTCTTTAGTGAAGTATTTTGCTGACGTGAGTTTATAATCTTTTGTGGGCCCTCATTGTCAACTAAAGCTCAAAGCTCAACTCTTGTTCACATCTATACATGTACAGGTACATGAACAGGTACATGAAAGTCTTTATTCAGACAAGTTTACAGGTAGCCTGGGTGTCACATGTATTGAATACAATACTGAATGCAGTGTCATATGTATTGAATACAATAGTGAATGCAGTGTCATTAAATCAATTGCTGGTAAGGCATTGCAGGGTGGGAGGGTCAGTGTAGAGTCACATTCCCATTTATAATCAATGTCCTTTCTGTGTACCCTAATTAAGCAAGAGGGGGTCAATGGGTCATGAGATTAAGGGCCATATAATCATCAAGTTAAACCAAAGTGCAAACTACACTGTGCTGCATGTGGAAGGAAGTGTTAATTCAAATGCCGGTTAAATGTAATGCATTGGGTATGCTTATGAATACTAACCTGTCTCGATCTTCAATTGCATACTCTGTATGTGCACTAGAAGCTACATGTACATGTAGAAGGGGAGGGAGGGGGGGGGGGGGTGGTGAGAACTTATGATAAATGTTACCACTACAGTAGATGTGTTCATGTACATGTACTTTACCAACTGGACAATTACAATGTTTTTGTTTTGCCAGCAGTTAGTGAAAAGGTCTTGGTAATTGCTCATGGCACAAGGGCAAGCAGATTTGTAACACCTTCAAACTGTAATTTGTGTCTGAACATGTCCTGTATTAACCAGGAACCACCATTACAGGGCATGGAAAGTTGATTTGCTTTTAATAGTGGCCTTGTTCACACATGGCATGTTAACCACCCTTCATGTATAATACAAACAATGCTGTGCCAAAGTTTCAAAAAGTTTCAAAAAGTTTGAAGATACATTGTACATGTACATGTATCCATGGCCAATTGCACTGTTCCTAGGGTAAAATAAATGTCCATGTACAGTATGTTGATTTGCATACAGTGTAACATGGGTCCCTAATCCCCCAAACATGTACCCTCTGATCCGAATGTTAAAATGATTCAGAAACTTTCATGTACAGTGTGTGTACGGTAGTGCACTACTTACATATAAGTGTGTATTCTTGTCTCATTTACGTGTTACTTGTTTATTTTAAATAGAGCATTAATGTTTCATGTCTAAAGGGGCCATAAATGTACATGTACATGTATGTCTTAGCCCTAAAACAGTATTGAATTGTATACTCTAGTTTCTATTCTACATGTAGGAATTTTCATGGTAAGCAAAGGGTTAAACAGAGGCTCTTCTCACTTTTCAACTCATCTATGTACACAGCCATTAATCAACCTTGCATTACTTGTACAAGCTATCCAAGCCGTAAGGGTTCCTCCCATAAGGGTTACCCTCGCCTTGATGCATTTTCCACCTGAATTGCCGATTTGCAGGGCAGGTGATAGGGACTGTACATGTACATGTACCGTAATGCTCCATAGCGAAGGGGCAACACTTCTGGGTTATTTATGTCAGGCATGCATGAAGGGGAGGGACAAGCCAGGGAGATTTATGTATACTGTAGCTGAACTATTTTCCATTCACACACAGAGGGCTTTTAAAGGTAAAGACCAGTATTGGAAACGCCCCAATTTCAAAAAATGAAATGGAAGCTCTCATTACCAATCATGTGAAAGAATATGTTTTGACTAATACATGATGATAAAAAATTTGCTGGGAAACCGCCTACTAATTCATATATTTGGTAAATTTGTTTCTCTCATGGTCTGTGAGAGATACATGTATAGGGTAGTCCCATGTACATGTACATCTTTCTGTGTATAGTGCTTGTAACTTTACGAAGAATGGGCCAAATTTCTTATCATTTTGATGATTCCAGAACCTTGCAGATGCTAGATGCTAGATGATCAACCTTTTCTGATCGATTCCATTCTTTCACAATGCAATCGCATGACTATAACTGGTCTTTACCTTTAAATGTACATTTTTAGAATATGACCTACAAGTACAGTGTACAGTGTACATGTATGTAGTGAATTTTCTCAAAGAGAAAAAGAATGAATGAATTTATCAAATATGTACATTTTAGGTCTCCACACAATCAATCATTCAGGGCACATGGCTGTGTAAATCTACACAATGTAAGTTCATTGTATGGACCTTTAAAGTATCAACATTTAATAAGGGGTTTATGTACAGTACTTTGCAGGCAAAAACCCTTGTCATTGATTACACTTACATGTAACAGTGTCTGCACTGTGAGACTAGACAGACGGCATATGACATAGGCTCTGTACATTACATTGTAGCTACTCTAGATAGACAGCCAGAAACTGACATACCGGTACATGTACATGTACCTTGTACATTGTACATGTAGCTAGACTCTGCTTAAGGCTTCAGGTATACATGTAATTGTCACTGGAGCAATGTCGGATCACAGACAGTGGTTCACACTTTGCAGTGTGTACCGTATTTGCCGCCGCAGTATTTTTGGAAGAGAAAATATCAAAAAGTCGGGGTGGGGTCTATGCGACGAAAGAGTAAAAAACAATTAAAAAGTAAGTCAAAACCAGCACGAATTTGCACATATGGGACTAGATCTACGAACGGTACAATAACTATACATTTCCACACATCTTACCGACAATTTTATCTTGCATTGTTGACATGAAGACGAAAATAAACTTCCAAAAACAACATCTGCCGATAGATCTTGATCTAAGTTTGTGCCAATGCATTGCAAAAGTAAAAGAAGGGCCCGTTTAACGAAGCTGCCGCGAAGCATCCAGCACGCGAAGTCGCTATTTTGAATCCATTTCAATACACAAGAGAGAGGCGCAATGTATACATCACAAAAAACTACATAAGCTAGCATCAGTGCAGGATGGCCGAGTGGTCTAGGGCTGTGATTTTAGTCAAATAAACATTTATACGCAAGAGATCAAATCTCGACTTTGACAATTTTTTTTTTTTTTTTTTTTTAAATGTCAAAATCGGTCTAACTCTTTCCTTTTACACCCAATTACAGGCAATCACGAACTACAAGAACACACTCTCACAGTTCAAGCGGTTTATTGCACGGCGTTTCAGTGACCCCTCAGTGCAGAAAGATGCCAAAGTGGTACCGTATAAAATCACACAGCTCCCTAACGGAAATGTTGGGATGCAGGTAAGTTTTAAACTTAAGAAAACACTGTCTTGATCACAAGAGCTCTCCTTTGATGTTGTATGGAAAAAAAACTTACAGAGCCTTTTTTTGGGTGTGTGTGTGGGGGGGGGGGGGGGAGGGGGGCTTGTTCTTTCTATTTTTAAATATCAGAGGTAATTTGAACACTCCACTTTTTTCTTAATTTGTTATTATTTTTAATATTTTACCCAGAGTTAAATGATTTTCTTTGCTCTCTCCAAATAAAAGCAAATTGGATTTTAGCTTTCCCTGTGGTAAGTGTGATTCAAGCTGGAATAATTGGACTGTTCGTAGAACAAGAATTATTAAACATGCACAGTCAACATCTTCAGACATCTTATTTTTGATGTACTTTTGCCTCCATGACGGATCGCTCTTTTGCTACTAAACATCTTGATCGTGTGTAAAGGAGATCTCTTGTTTCACACCTTCAGGTGCAGTATCTGGGCGAGACGGAGACATTCACACCAGAGCAGATTTACGCCATGATTTTGACGAAACTCAAATCGACAGCAGAGATTAACCTTTGCAGGAAGGTGGTCGATTGTGTCATCTCGGTAAGAACTTGTCAAGCAGCCATTTCCGAACCCCACTGCACATGATTACAATTCGACTGGGAACCATTTTTGAAATAAATTGCAGAAGTGTGAAATTTGACTTTATAAACATGTAATATTGATAATTGAGGTTCTTAATGATCACATGAATGGTAAAAGTAGAACTGGGATTTAGTAGGCCTTTTACGAAGACAAAAAAGATAAATGGCCCCAAATCTCGGGAAGCCTTGTGATTGGTTTGATGTTTCTCTGATTTGCAGCTAGTTTAAGCTTTTTCTTCCATATTTTCTAATATAAAACTAAGGGGTACAGTCTACTTATTTTTGTTATAACAATCAGGATCTACCACATAAAGTTTTTGTGTTGGAACGGTAGTCAACAATCTTTTTTACACATGATAATTACAAGTCGCCAAGTTCATGTCAAATTAAAGTATCATCCTGGATCTGTCAGGCACTCTTTATCATATCCTACTTGATTTTATTTCTTCTGATCAGGTTCCACAATATTACACTGATCTGGAACGTAGAGGTGTAATCCACGCAGCAGAGATTGCTGGTCTCAACTGTCTAAGGGTCATCAGCGATACTACTGCAGGTAAACAACAACAAAATACCATTTGTAGCTTGCCCCCCTCCCTCTCTCTCTCTCTCTCCCCCTTCCCCCCTCACCTTCCTTACTCCCTCAGTCAAGGACATATACTAGATAAAAAAAAGTACCATTTGTAGCTTCCCCCTTCCTCACTCCCTTACCCTCTCTATATCCCTTGTTTACTTGTCCAAGGTTGTCTGTTTGGTTCATTAATTTATGTAGTTTAGGGGGCAAAACCACCCAAGAATCTTGTATATTTTTAGTGTTGTTCAATGCTTATTGGCTCTGTGTGTAATTGGGTTTTTCAGATGTGTATCAATTCGGGGGCAGATCTTTAGCATCACCATCTGAAAGACGCAGCTTTGAACTGGTCTGTCTGAGTCGGTTTGTAGGCAAAGCCAGACAGCTGATCATACTACAGTGAATCATGTCTCTAAAGACCACCCAAGAAAAGGCAAAATGATGTTAAAGTCAATCCATTCTCTGAGCTTTGTTGTCTGTGGTCTCTGTCTCTGTTCCTGCAAGGGCTCTTCCCATAACTTGACAGTGTTTTACTGGCAGACTTTGGGTGGCCTGTAGGAAACGAGACTGGGGTACCACACACAACAGGGAGACCCTCACAGGGACACCACGTTAAGAGTTCTTTTCTGAATTCTAGCTGGTTCCATTTTGTGACGGTGTCTTGAAACCAATGAAGAATGACATTATCTGATTGCTTGAATATGTGATATTATCATTTATGAAAGTTAAAGTCACTTCTTCAAGAGTATGACTAGACATTACAAAGTCCCTTTGACAAGAAAAGTGGTCTTTATAGGCAGGTGGTCTTTATGTTCAGGTTCCTTTAGTGCATGCTACAATGAGAAACCATTTTCAAGGAAAACAATAAATGTAGTCTTGGTAGACAGGTGGTCAATAGAGCAGGTTTGACTGTACTAGATTGAGTGACATACCCCATGCTTCATTTGCCTTTTGAGTGATGTGGTCTTTAAGTACAGGTTCATTTTATAGTGCATGTTTCAATGAGAAACGATTTTCAAGGGAAACACTAAATGTGGTCTTTGTAGACAGGTGGCCACAGGTTTGACTGTTCTAGACTAAGTGACAAACCCCATTCTTAATTTGCTTTTTGAGTGATGTAATACCTTCATTCTCCCATGGACTCTAATCAGTATCCTGTTCCCTACCCTATTGTCATCTTTACTTTGTTCAGTTGCCCTGGCATACGGCATCTACAAGCAAGACCTTCCCACTCCCGAGGAAAAGCCAAGGAACGTAGTCTTTGTGGACTGTGGACATTCATCCCTTCAAGTGTCTGTATGTGCATTCAACAAGGGTAAACTCAAGGTAAGATAATATGTGTTAGATGAATTTTCTTTACTTTGGAACATGGACACTCCTCCCCCCCCCCCCCCTTTCCTCTTCTGGACTATCTTGGCCATTTCGTACTCCTCTCGACCAAACGGGCTCTAGGCAGTCTTACTACATACAGTTTTACAGGTAGAATTATGATGCAAATGCACATTAAACATTTGATCGTTCAAGATGTGACAGCCTGTCAAATCTTCCTGTAACTCCTTTCATGGATGTCAGCCTGTGTTGCAAATCATTGAAGTTTTGACTTTTTAAAAAAATAAGTTTTATTTGACTACAATCACCAGACCTTACAATTCTTATTGTGAAATTTGAATCAATGATATCAACTGTATGTTGTCAGACTACTGTAAAACTAGAAACTTGACAGCTATTTATTTTACGCCGTAAAACCTTTCAAACCTAAAACACTTTTTAAATTGGTAAACATTTTATGCTGCAAAATAGAACAATCCAAACATTACAGTTTTGCAAAATTTGTGGAGGCTTCTGGTTTTACACTACGTTTTAAATCATATTTGGGTAACTCTAGATTTCTGTTTTTATTTTTAATCATGTGTTTCTCACTCTAGGTCCTAGCCAACGCCTCAGACAAGAACTTAGGTGGGCGTGACTTTGACTGGTTACTGGCCGAGCACTTTGCAGTAGACTTCCAAACCCGGTACAAGATGGACGTCAAGTCTAACCAGAGGGCGTGGCTTCGTCTCATGGCCGAGTGCGACAAGACCAAGAAACTGATGAGCGCCAATGCTACGCTTATCTCCATGAATATCGAGTGCATCATGAACGACAGAGATGTCAGTGGAAAGATAAGCAGGTAATGAGCATCCCTGATCGAAGTGCTGAAATGTATCTCATTACAAAATACACCCCCCCCCCCCCCAAAAAAAAAAAAAAAAAAAAAAAAAAAAATGTCTTTCAGGGTAAATTAAATGACTCCCAAGATAAAAACCTGCTGAAGACAAGTCCCATAATAAAAAAGTTGAAAAAACATGCTACAGTCCAACCAGCTTTAGCAACCAACTGTGTTTACAGATTACACCCCCCCCCCCCCCTTGAACAGTGTTTCTCATAGAATGCTACATTGATGGGAGTACAGGAAGAAAGACCTCATGGCCATAACTATTTATATGGCCTCCCTTGAGCAGGCTTTATATACCATTTCTTGCTCTTTAATAAAAACAAAAAACAAGAATTCTGATGATTTCATGACTTGTAGAATAAATGATGTCATACCATCATGTCAATTAAAATCATCACACAGTTCACACAGTTTGTGTTTCACAATCAACTTTTTACTGTTTTTCCTATCCAAATATTATTATTCCAGTTGCTTGTACGAATGCAGACTTGATCAAAGAAATCAGATCCTTTTATTCTTGTACCCTGGGGTTTATTGACTAAAATTAGAGATATTGGATACTTGCCATCACATTGCACCACAAGCAATCATCTAATTACATTTGAGTTCACTCTCTATTTTTGTCATCAATTTGATTGTAGATATGTGCTAATTATAACCTACATACTCACATGTGTCATATACTAAACTGGAGTTGAACAACCAGTGATGTGTCTGCAGAAAAATTTATTGATAGCACTCTGGAAAAATGACATGTTTTTCTTTCTTTTATTCAATTTCCTTTTTCTCTTTTTGTTATGGTACAGGGCTGATTTTGAGGCGCTTGCAGCAGAGTTGTTAAAACGAGTTGAGGTTCCTCTCAAATCTGTACTAGAACAGACAAGTAAGTATGGTTTAAGAATGAAGAATGAAAACTTTCTATATCTTAATCTCTAGATATTTTGAGGGCCAATAAATTCATATGACATATAACAAAAGGGCAAAATGATGTTAAAGTCAATCCATTCTCTGAGCTTTGTTGTCTGTGGTCCCTGTCTCTGTTCCTGCAAGGGTTTTTCCCATAACTTGACAGTGTTTTACTGGCAGACTTTGGGTGGCCTGTAGGAAATGGGACTGGGGTACCACACACAACAGGGAAACCCTCACAGTGACACCATGTTTAGAGTTCTTCTCTGAATTCTAACTGGTTCCATTTTGTGATGGTGTCTTGAAACCACTGAAGAATGACATTATCTGATTGCTTAAATACTTCATATTATTATGCCTTGAAAGTTGTACTTCTTCAAGAGTATGACTAGTGAGTGTTTTGTCTTGCTAACACAAGATTTTTTGGGTAACAGCGACACGAATCCTCATTACGAAGTCCCTTTGAGAGGACTTAAAGCCGTAAGGCCTGTGGTAACAGCAACATGAGTCCTCATCACGAAGTCCCTTTTAGAGGACTTAAAGCCTTTGGGCCTGTGGTTGCTTACAAGCAGTGAAGCATACACATGATTTCTTAGCAGTCACATATAAATAAATTTATCCAACCATCCCTATTGGAGCATCCTGGAAGAAGGTTGAATGCAAATCAATAACTTATGTCCTTTTTGTTACCATTTCTCCAGAGTTGAAGCCAGAAGACATCCATTCTATCGAGATTGTAGGAGGATCCAGTCGTATTCCTTCCATCAAGGAAACGATAAAGAAGGTCTTCAAGAAGGAGTGCAGCACGACGCTAAATCAGGATGAAGCTGTGGCAAGGGGTTGTGCTTTACAGGTAGGTTATCAAGTCATCAAGTGCAGTGGATTACCAAGCACTTGGTTTTATTTTCATTTCTCATTACGACTCATTACTAAACCATATGATTTAGGCTGTAAATGTAAAGTAAATTTATATCAAGTGTGTATGTAAATGAACTTATAGAGAGGTGTATCAATCACTTTTGATCATTTACGTATGTCAGCACTCAAAAGATATTACTTGGTCTTTAATTAGGGTCCATCAAAGTCAGTTTGTATTTTTGAAAACGGAAAGCTGACCATACCGCTAGGCCAACTTAGTTTGTCTTTTCAGAGGCCTACTTCAAAAATGTCTATCATGACATCCAAGTACTTTCTCTATTTTCATCAAAACAAGAAATACTTGTGTGTGTGTCCTTATGATGAAAAGCTAGTGTTGTAGATAATAATAATAATAATAATATGGATATTTATATAGCGCCGGTATCCGCCAGGCTCTGACGCTCATGGCGCTGTACATACATGTATTACTATCACAAAAAATATAACTTTCTTAACTAAAATAAAGTAAACTAAAACAACACAAATTATTACGCTACATTGACATGATTAAATAGCACTGTTTAGAAAGAGATGGGTTTTTAGAGCAACTTTGAAGGCATGAAGGGTAGTTAAATTACGAATACTAAGTGGCAGCTTATTCCAAAGGGACGGACCAGAATGAGAAAATGCTCTATCCCCCCAGGAACTGCGCATCTTAGGGACAACTGAAGGGAATCCTGCTGTTTCTTAATCTTGTGTTTTCAGTTAGGAACAGTCCCATTTCCAAAGTTTAGAATCTATTGTTAATTTGGGAAGCAAAATGATGTTAAAGTCAATCCATTCTCTGAGCTTTGTTGTCTGTGGTCTCTGTCTCTGTTCTTACAAGGGCTCTTCCCATAACTTGACAGTGTTTTACTGGCAGACTATGGGTAGCCTGTAGGAAACGGGACTAGGGTACAACACACAACAGGGAAACCCTCACAGGGACACTGATAGAGTTCTTTACTGAATTTTAATCAGTCTCTTTTTGTGATGGTCTCTTGAAACCATTGAAGAGTGACACAATCTGATTGCTCTGTGAATAAATGCAGTCATTGTTTTTCAATTACTAGACAAGATTACAACAATGTCAAATCTTTTCAGTACATTTGCCAAGCAATGTGTTTTTCAATTGTTCATGTGATAAAAAGCATATTTGTTTAACTTCCAAATATACCAGTCCAGGGAAAAACAATATATAATTGTTATCTTGTGATCAAGAGTTAACTTAGCAAGGTCATCACTACCATGCTTTAAAGGTAAAGACCAGTATTGGTAACGCCCCAATTTCAAAAAATGAAATGGAAGCTCTCATTACCAATCATGTGAAAGAATATGTTTTGACCAATACATGATGATAAAAAATTTGCCGGGAAACCCCCTACTAATTCATATATTTGGTAAATTTGTTTCTCTCATGGTCTGTGAGAGATATAAGGTAGTCCCATATACATCTTTCTGTGTATAGTGCTTGTAACTTTACAAAGAATGGGCCAAATTTCTTATCATTTTGATGATTCCAGAACCTTGCAGATGCTAGATGCTAGATGATCAACCTTTTCTGATCGATTCCACAACGTTTCTTTCACAATGCAATCGCATGACCATAACTGGTCTTTACCTTTAACTATTGCCTAGTGGTAAACCATGTTATAGATGATCGAGGCAATGATGCAATAAAGAAATTCCAAAGCTGCTTATTTTCCCAATGAATACATTTACAAATTTTTCAAAGTCCTTACCGTAAATCTCATTGTATAAGCCGCACTTTTTCCCGCCTGTTTTTTTTTTTTTAAAGTTGGGGGTGCGTCTTATACATATAATTTTTTCTTTCTTCCCCCTCCCCAAAATAGAGGTGCACCTTATACACAGAGATTTACGGTAGTTTGATGATTCAGTTACCATCTACTTGTCTTTTCTTGTTTCAGTGTGCCATCTTATCACCAACCTTCAAGGTAAGGGACTTCACGGTGACAGACCTGACACCCTACCCTATCGAACTAGAATGGAAAGGAACAGAAGGAGAGGATGGGTAAGTAATCTCTGGACATTCCCTGAATTTGATTAGGGCTGCTAACTAACTTTTTACCGGGAGTCCATCTTGAAATTTTTAACATCAATGCATTGGCTCCCTTTTAAAGTGTGTTCTATTTAGGAGGGGTTCTGAGCTGTAACTGTCATTTTAGCCCAAATAAACAACAATCTTTAACAAACTGCCAAAATTCAATGTTCATCAATACCGACCCCAGAGGGTCAGATGGTTTAAAGCCCCACTGTACTACTTATAGCTACTTGCGCCCTCTATATAGCAAACGATGCCTAATCATGGGGGACCATTGGTGTATGACATATTTCTAAATCTTAATCTCAAGAAACTTGACGGGGTCAATAAATCCATATATATTTAAAAAAAAGCAAAATGATGTTAAAGTCAATCCATTCTCTGAGCTTTGTTGTCTGTGGTCCCTGTCTCTGTTCCAACAAGGGTTCTTCCCGTAACTTGACAGTGTTTTACTGGCAGACTCTGGGTGGCCTGTAGGTAACGGGACTGGGGTACCACACACAACAGGGAAACCCTCACAGGGACACCATGTTTAGAGTTCTTCTCTGAATTCTATCTGGTTTCATTTTGTGATGGTGTCTTGAAACCACTGAAGAATGACATTATCTGATTGCTTGAATACTTGATATCATTTTGTTTTGAAAGTTAAAGCCACTTCCTAAAGGGTATATCTAGTGAGTATTTTTCTTGCTAACACAAGATTTTGGGGGTAACAGAGACTTTCAAACAAATATTGTCGTTTCTACTGCTCTCTTGTCCAAGTCATAATCTATTTGAAAATCAATCTCTTTTTTTTGTGGGATAAAAAAAAATACCTGTATTTTGATAAACGTTAACTTTCATCTTCAAAGAATCCACCAAATACAACATATTTTTGGTTAGTTGTACAATAGAGCTTTATTTGCCAATGCAGAAAGCTGGACATGTCAACAGAATATGGATTTAAGTTTGATAATATTTTACCCCTAACTTTGCTATAAGAATAAAGATTTGGTAATGTTTTCTTATGATGTAATTCATTATTTTCACTCTTCCCTTTTTCTTCACAATAGGTCAATGGAAGTGTCCAGTAAAAACCACCAAGCACCATTCTCCAAGATGCTGACGTTCTACCGCAAGGCACCCTTTGAGCTTGTGGCTCGATATGCCGACCCAAACCTGCCCATTCCTGAGCGTAGGATAGGTATGACATTCATAAAACCAACACCACATGCTTAAGATGATGTTGATGCTATGTTTAACATTCATGTCAATGGCACCAGCTTCTGATAGATTTCTGTAGAGACTCTGTTGTCATGTAGGTGAAGCTCTTTGCCTGCAAAGTTTGGTTTTCGTTAAAGGTGGTGTGTCCCTTTTGCAGGCTGAAAATGTTAACTTTTGTAAATCCTGGTAAACAAGAGATAATACCAACTAAAAACTCCTAAAAGATTAGAACTGGTAATTGCCTCTATGTGGAAAAACTAGTGTTGTAGTTAAAGGGAATCATTCGGTGTCTAAATCTTAGGTTTTGAGTTAGGAACAGTCCCATCTCCAAAGTTTGGACTCAATTGTTAATTTTGGAAGCAAAATGATGTTAAAGTCAATCCATTCTCTGAGCTTTGTTGTCTATGGTCCCTGTCTCTGTTCTTACAAGGGATCTTCCCATAACTTGACAGTGTTTTACTGGCAGACTCTGGGTGGCCTGTAGGAAACGGGACTGGGGTACCACACACAACAGGGAGACCTTCACAGGGACACCGTGTTTAGAGTTCCACTGTGCATTCTAGTGGGTATCTTTCTGTGATGATCTTTTGAAACCATTGAAGAGTGACACAATCTGATTGCTCTGTGAATAAATGCAGTCTTCATTTCATTTACTAGACAAGATTACAATATTGTCAAATCTTTCGAGTACATTTGTACATGCTCAAGATAATGTTGACTCTACGTTTAACATTCATGTCAATGACATTAATTAGCACAATTTTTGAAACGCGTTCTTTAAATTATTCATAAAAAATAGTCTGATTTTCAGGCCATTGTACCGTGTGGTCGTACGTTTTGTGCTGAGCAAAAATTCAATCAGCTTAATTTTTACCATTACAATAAGCGGGTTGTGTACAAAAGCTCATATCCTTTACAGCTCATTTTATGTATGTTATTACCAAAAAGAAAAAAATGTCAGTCAGTCAGTCACTCAATAGTGTCTGACAGTGAAATCTAGAAGGTAAACGGGTTTACTTGCATAAATTTAAATACTAGGACACCGATTACGTTTAAATTTCACAGATAGGACATGCGTGACAAATTCATAATGCATACAAATTTCTACAGAATTTTATATTTACCACGATAAATCAATGTATCTACCTATTATTTGCTAGTTTATCTAAACATGCATGTGCCAAATGTTAATCAATGTCTTGCTAAAGAATGTTAGTGATGTAGCAGGTAGCTTTAGTTCGACATAGGAGACTGTTACCATAGACATGCCTTGTTTCTTATAGGTCGCTTCAAGATTAACGGCGTCTTCCCGACGACTGAGGGTGAGAGTTCAAAGATCAAGGTCAAGGTTCGCGTGGACGGTCACGGTATCTTCAATGTGGCGTCGGCCTCCCTGATAGAGAAGCTTCCTGTGCAGGCGGAGGACGCGATGGAGGATGGCAGCCCCGAGGAGAATGGACCCAGCAAGGAGGAAGGAAGCGGAGCCTCGCAGGCAGAGAATGATGCCCCCATGGACCAGAGCCCAGTGCAAGGTGGGGCTGGAGAGGGAGAGGCATCGGCAGACAAAGAGGAGCAGGCAGACAATGGTTCCAAAGAGGTAATAGATGTTCCCCTTCAGATCGTCATTGATGTAAAAGGGGTTTTTCCTTTGAACAATGTCTTTGACTCAGAATTGATTTCCCCAGCAGAATTTCTTTAGCTAAATGGATATTGAAAAAAATTATTTTCTAATGAATATATTTTATTTTTAGATTCAACAAGAAGAAAAAAAAGTACAAAGAGAAGCTTGTTATAGTTTTTAAGAAGCCAAGTTAGATGTGCTAAAAGATTAGGACTATGACAAAAATGAATATGCATAAAAACATGCTTTTTCCTTTCACAAGTTGTACTAATGTGTCATTGCGTAATCAAAGTCATACTTAAATACTTGATCTTGATCATACTTAAATTCTATTTGTCGTATTTAACTTATCTTTGAAAAGGAGTGCCAGGAGTGGCAACGTGCCAGACATGAGAGCTTTATAAGACTCAACTATTATTGTTATTATTATCTTTGTAGACTTCTAAAGACAGTAAAGATCAGACCAGTGAGAGCAGCAAATCAGATAAAGAGAGTAAAGATCAAAACAGTGAGGGCAGCAAATCAGATAACAGCAGTACTGAGACAGATGCAAAGGCAGCCAAGAAGACTAAGAAGACCATCAAAACGCATGAACTGAGCATCACTGCTACCACTGATGAACTCTCTATAACTGAAGTCAACAATTTCTTTGAAAAGGAGGTATGTGTATATTTTGAATGATGGAGGCAAGCCAGAGGTATGTAATCTGGATCTAGTACTACCCTGAAAAAAAAATGGAATTGAACACTTTCTACGAACCCACTTTCATGAATCTCCTCAATAAGGGCCCAAATTTCCTACACTTTTTCATGTACCCCAGCAGCATAAGTACTGTCTTGAGACACTGTATTTCATGTGATTTACCATCTACTAATCTCCAGTTTCACTATTTATTGGAAAATGGAGGGGGGGGGGGGCTGGCAGGCTAATGAATCAAATGTGTTTACACTATGAACATGACGAACAAAGAAAGCGGACAAAATATACAGTTCCTCAGGTAGACAAAGGAACATCCCTTCACTGCTATTGTGTAAAAAGGTGAATATGCATGTGACACCTGTTCTACACATTTTTATATAATAGCAGTGAAGGGATGTTCCTTTGTGTACCTGGGGAACTGTATATTTTGTCCGCTTTCATTGTCAGTCATGTTCATAGTGTTAATATTGTGCCTGTTTATCTCTTTTTGTGTCATTATATTTCATTATATGATTACATGTAGTTCATTTCATTTGCTAGTTCTGAATTTTTCACAGTAGATTCATCAAGTTTCCCCAATATTGTGATTTCTAATGCATACAGACGTCCCTCTATCATGCGCTTAAAATCATAATTTACAAGTACCGTTTTCCTGCTGATTTCTCTGTAGGGTAAATTGATTGCCCATGACAGGCTCGAGAAGGAGAAGAACGATGCCAAGAACGCAGTAGAAGAGTACGTCTATGAAATGAGAGAAAAGCTCTGTGACAAATTTGAGCAGTACATCTCGGAAAAGGTTTGTTTATCTCTGTTTCTTTTGTTTTGGTTTACTCCAGATTTTTAGTTTTGTAATATAAGGAAGCTTCTTGGAACAGGTTATTTTAGAAATAATTTTGTAATAAATTCCATTATTGAGATTGGCTGCATATGAATTAATAAAAAAATAAGTGACATGTTAAATCTTTGTACCAAGAGGGATTTGAATCTGCGACATCTAATACCATCCTGGAAGTGACTATACCACCAGGCGCAGACAGATAGCTTATAGTTGCAGCAAAATTCTTCAAAGTTTCTTAAAAATTTATGGAAGCAGTGAATGTGTAGAGCCTTGGATTTGAAGTAAAGTTTGTGTATCTGAAATGAAAACAGAATTTATGAGATATGTGTGCTTCTGTTGTATGTATTTTGTGTTTAAATTTTTTTTTTTAATTAAAAAAAAGTCTTAAGTGTTGTTTTGAAGGAACTATGAAGCTGAAAAGCAAAATGATGTTAAAGTCAATCCATTCTCTGAGCTTTGTTGTCTGTGGTCCCTGTCTCTGTTCCTACAAGGGCTCTTCCCATAACTTGACAGTGTTTTACTGGCAGATTTTGGGTGGCCTGTAGGAAACAAGACTGGGGTACCACACACAGCAGGGAGATCCACACAGAGACACCAATGTTTGGAGTCCCAGTGTGGATTCTAATGGGTGTCTTTCTGTGATGATCTTTTGACACCATTGAAGAGTGACACAATCTGATTGCTATTCTGTAAATAATATTTATCCAGTTTTAAGCCCTACTGCAATACTTATACCTACTTGTGCTCTCTATATAGCAAACAATGCCTAATCGGTGACAATTGGTCCCCCTTGATCCCCCTTATGTTAATTGAGAGCTGATTTGATGAGATAACCACCTGTCCGTGACCATGTAGAGAGGCGTAGTCCCTCCTGGCCAAACCAGTTCAGTGGGGCTTTAATAAAAAGCTGCACAGATGTGAAGGAGAGCAAGAGCTGATTTTCTTTTTGTATTTCATAAGTACACTACAGATTAGCATACCTGCCAACCTTTACGAATAATCCAGATTTTTTTGTGTGTGTGGATTTTTTGTTTTGTTGTTGATTTTTTTTAATTTTTCGGTTCTAAAGCCAAATAAAGCTTGTTTTATCATGTGCCGCGATTTGAGAGTTCATGTATTGTGTGTGTTTAATGGCTGCATGATCGAGCACCGAGTTCAGGTTTACAGATTACAGATTTACCTTGTATGTACCCCAAATTTACCGCGTATTGCCATTTACACTGCCGCTGTAAGTGCCATTTCTCATTTTCAAAGACATACGGTGCTAAAAACTCCTAATTCTTACTTTCAAATGATGGCAGGTATGGATTAGTCCCAAAAAATCAAGGACTCTGAAATGGCCATTAGCACCAGGGACTATGGTTTTACCTACAGAAATGAAATATCTAGGACAGATTTGTGTTCACTTTCTTTAACTTGATTTTTTTCTTCACAGGAGAGGGGGAGTTTCAGTAAGCTTTTGGAGGAAACAGAGAATTGGTTGTATGAAGACGGAGAGGACGAGACTAAGAGTGTCTACCAGACAAAAATTAATTCATTAAAGGTATGTAGACCCACTGCAGACATTGACAATTAGAAACCGTTGCAAGAGAAGTTACAGTACTGATAAGGTGGAAGATAATTTGTAAGGTTGTTCAACCCCCCCCCCCCCCACCCCCACCCGAATATGGAAATGTGGAAGAACATCACAGAAGAAAGGTAACATGGACAGGTTTGTTTGGATCATGCTCTTGTATTTCTAATATGAAGACAAATTATTTTAGTATTTAAACCAGATTTCGATGCCACATGATTTGTAGTCCCATTTGCCCATATCTGTATTCACAAATTTTCATTGTTTGCGATTTTCAGCAAACTAGTCTATTGAAATGTTGATGATTCCAAAACCTCATACAAAACTTCATCATACAGAACTGGTCAGAGTAAGTTTCAGACACCAGACAGTTCTTTCACAATTAAATTCACTCAACCTCACACTTAATGCCCTATTTCTGTATACAAATTTCAAATGTCTATGGCACGTACAGGGTTAATTTTATAATTGATTCTTCTAGAAACAAATTAATAATAATAATAATAATAATAATAACAATAATAATAATAGCCTAATAGTCCACTCCAAATTTTATTAAACTGAAACGGAAATTCTTTTTGCCCAATTGATCGTGAGCCCGGCAGCCACTGAGCAGCGCCAGATCGACGTTGCTCTATCCCTTATTGTTGAACGCCAAACAAGGTAGCAACAACTCCCATCTTTTAACGTATTTTGGTATGACGTGGCCGGGGTTCGAACCCTCGACCTCCCGGTTGTGAGGACGCTCTACTTACTGAGCCAACACTGTATTATTAAAGTTAAAATTCAAACCGAAAAAGAATGTATGTTGAATAAGTTATAATACATGATTAAAAGAATGTTCTCACTTCAAAGGAATTGTCAGGGTTTGTTTTAAAGAAAAGCAAAATGATGTTAAAGTCAATCCATTCTCTGAGCTTTGTTGTCTGTGGTCCCTGTCTCTGTTCCTACAAGGGCTCTTCCCATAACTTGACAGTGTTTTACTGGCAGACTTTGGGTGGTCTGTAGGAAACGGGACTGGGGTACCATACACAACAGGGAGACCATCACAGGGACACTGATAGAGTTCTTCTCTGAATTCTTATCAGTATCTTTTTATGATGGTCTCTTGAAACCGCTGACGAATGACATGATCTGATTGCTAAAAGACATAAAATGTGGTTTGTCAAATTGAAGCCTCACACAGAGCAGAAGAGGGCAAATATAAGCACATATAAGCACACTTTATTAATAGTCTGAATAAGCAACTATGAAAAGGATACCTGACAAGAATATTAAGTCATTATATGCTTGTCTTATAGTTAGCTTTCCAAATTCTTGAATGATACAGTGATCTACCACATTGAGATGGCCTTTTCCATCCCTGCTAACCAGTATATTTTCCTTTATTAACAGTATATTTACTTTACTTGATTGCGTTTTTTCAGAAAATTGGAGACCCAGTTGAGAACAGGTTTAAAGAAAATCTGGAGAGGCCTGGTGCCTTTGAAGACTTCGGCAAGGCATTAGTACCCTACATAAAAACATTGGATCTCTATTCAAATGGGGTAAGCATTATGAACGATAGTGTCAATTCCACTTCAGTTTTCTTTTGAAAAACCCTTTACTAAAGCATTACATTCTTTGTACAGGATAACTCTTATTATGCACATTCTTCAACTGTGTGAAATCATCTATCCTTTTCATGTTATAACCTTATAGTGATTTATGTTGAATTATGTACATATTATCATAATTTGTATGCTTTATAATTGTAAATCTATCTAAAATCAGCCACTGGCCGCGACAAAAAGATAAAACCTTCAATTCAGTATTTTGCAAAACCCTATCCTTGTCCTTGTGAGAAATGATAGATTCAAGAACCCTTAACCAATGTCCCCTTTGACCTTTTTTTTGCCCTTTGACCTTTTTTCGCCCTTTGACCTTTTTTGCCCTTTGCTCTTTGAACCCTCTCCAGGATGAGAAGTACTCTCACATTGAGAAGGAAGACATGGCGAAGGTGGAGAAGTGCGTGAAGGAGAAGGTGGCCTGGAGAGATAGCAAGGTGAATGCCCAGAACCAGAAGGCTCCTCACCAGGATCCGGTTGTCACAGCCGCGCAGATTAGGTCAGAAATACAGGTAAGAAGGAGCAGAAAATTTTATTTTTCAAAGTTTTTAGGTGATTTTAGGGTTGTGAACTGTTTCTGATTGCCCGTCATCTGCAAAAGACAGGGCTTCGCATTTAGCCAATCATTGGTGCACAATAATTAGTAAAAAAACAAATTTCAATATTGAAGTTAAAATTCAACAAAAAAGAATGGATGTTGAACAGGTTATAAAACGTGATTAAAAGAATTTTCTCACGTAAAAGGAATTGTCCGGGCTCGTTTTTTGAAAATGCAAGATGATGTTAAAGTCAATCCATTCTCTGAGCTTTGTTGTCTATGGTCCCTGTCTCTGTTCCTAAAAGGGCTCTTCCCATAACTTGACAGTGTTTTACTGGCAGACTTTGGGTCGCCTGTAGGAAACGGGACTGGGGTACCATACACAACAGGGAGACCGTCACAGGGACACTGTTAAGAGGTCTTCTCTGAATTCTAATCAGTCTCTTTTTGTGATGGTCTCTTGAAACCGCTGACGAATGACATGATCTGATTGCTACAAAACATAAAATGTGGTTTGTTAAATTGAAGCCTCACACAGAGCAGAAGAGGGCAAATATAAGCACAAACTTAAAAGAAGACACAACAAAACAATGAAGAAACAGAATGCCAATCTTTAACGTTTGTCCCTATATTTATAAATATATAATATATATATTTTTCAATGTTTTAAGATGTTTTTAAAGGTTGTAAACTGTTTCAGATTGCCCATCATGGCAACAGACAGGCCTCGCATTAAGCTAATCATTTGTGCACAATAATAATTAATAAAAATAATTATAGGCATTTCTATAGCGCCGTCTATCTAGAAATTCTATTCTGAGGGGCATTAATTATTACCCTGGCTTTAGCCTAGTTGCTATTACAGAGCTCCAGCAAATAAGGATTAATTTCTTGCCAAAGGACATGAGTGCCGTATCGGGGATCGAACCACGACCTTTGAATTTAAAGTCTAGTGCTTAAACCACTCGACTACGACACTTCTATACATATGTCAGCAAAAGGGTATGGCTACAGTACTACTTACTTATGCCTTGTAATTTCTAGAGGGATATTGAGACCATTTAGCAGGGTGTCACTGAATGCCTTTGGCCTCTGAGTAATTTGAGCCTTGAGTCAATGATCTTGTCCCGTGCAAAGATTGACGCCCCTGATTTTCCTGCATTTTCTCTTTCCCCCACTTACAGAGCATGAAATTCGTATGCGATCCCATCATCAACAAGCCCAAACCCAAGCCCAAAGAAGAACCGCCCAAGGACAACGGTCCCACTCCGGAAGAAGCTGCCAAGGATGGTGGCCCCGCCCCTCCAACCACGGAGGGGGGCGAGGAGAAGATGGACACCAGTGACCAAGCACCTACGGGAGAAGCAAGCAAAGAAGGTGAAACCAAACCAGAAGAAACCAAACCAGATGTGGAGATGGAACTAGATTAACGTTAAATATCTGTAGTGCTATTCTTCTCTTCTTTGTTTTATACGCTCGTCACGATTGTGATGGAAATTGTACACTGGTCTTAATTTTGTCGTTGAATCACAGTCAAAGATCAACGCCATGCATTATTGTAGTAATTTGTTGATTAAATTCCAGCTGTGAATTAGTGTCTAGGTTAAATAGTTGTCGCTACCAAAATTTACATTTTCCATGCATCTAGTGCCAACATTAACTTTCCAATCGATATCTTAGATTGTAACAAATAGTTTAAAAATTGTAGTAATGATAACCCCAAAACAAAGCCATGCTTATGAACAATCAGAATTACTTGTATGGTTATCAAGTTTGTTAGTTGATCATCAAAGTAAGGCAATATGTGATGAGAAGAATACATTTGTCTTTTCTCTCAAGAAGAGTTTTAAACTCAATTTGCCCATGATGTGAAATCATTAAGAATGTTAAGTTTGAGATGATTTTGTTGTAATTTCTGCTGCAATAGATCATGTATTTTATGTTTTCCTCAGAAATATTTTTTCTTTTGTGAATTAAGTTTGTAGAGCATTCATCTGTTTACAGCTCAGGTGAAAAAGAAGAAATTTTGTTTAAAATTTTAACTTAAGCTTTATTTGAGGCTTTATTTCTGATGCCCACTAGTATGTTACAGATGCATGTAACTGCATTATACGTTTACTAAATCTGGCTGTGATTTCTGTATGAATCTAACTATTTTACTATACTTACAGCTTACAGCTATATTTTCTGAACCACATACTCATGTGTATTTATAATGACTTCTTACTAATTTGTCAGCTTTTGCACTAATAAAGTGACAACATCACATTAAAACAATGTGTTTGCACAAGGTGTATAATTTTTGTGACCTCTTGTTCTCTCCAACAATTTGAAACTGTTCATATATTGTAAAAACATCCATAGACCTGATTATTTATTTGTAAATCAATGTCTCTGCTACCAAACTAAGTTGTAACTAGACGCAGAATAATCTAAAGTTCCGTAGCAGTGCTTAGAACCGTGAAGCTACTGTAGCAATTTTAAATGTCATCATATGATAAATGTTTTTGTGACAGTAGTTCATATGTGATGATGATGTATTAATGATATTTCATGCGAAAATGAACAGATAATTCTACTATTTGTGTAAATAGTTATAAATGAATGTGATTATATATTCTTGTTCATGTCAATATGGAAGGGAACACAAGCACATGTACAGGCTGCTTATTCGGCATACAAACTTGTATATTGGAGGACGCTATGCACTTTGTCTTGGTTCATAAGTCACATTGGAGGCGGTGGCCTGCATACTGATACCAGAAGATATTTGTGGTAGCAAAGCATAAATGTCACTGGAACCTTATTTGTGTTGCCAACTTAATAATGCGATACACTGAGAGATCGTAGATGTGGTTTGGGTTTTCCTTCGCAACTCTGAATGGAATTCTAAATTGGGATAGGTCGGGAGATTGTTTGCAAATTGTGGATGAGGCATTCTAGCCAGGACGTATTCAATTTTGTTTAATAGCCTCCCATAGCTTCCAGGTTTATTTAGTCATAATTCTGTTAGGTTAAGGCTAATTTAGTTCACAGAACCTTGGCATTTACTTCTTGGGCAAGAAGAATATCCAAATAAATTGTTATCTGGTCATTCTGGTGTTTGATTATTCCCAGTATAATCGAATGAGTGTAAAAGCACAGAGTCACAATCCCTGTATTGGTAAATGTACATTGCTTATACCGTTTATCAATGTCTCCTCAAAAAAGTTCCAACCAAAGATTGAAATGATTGCTAACTCCATGATGGAATATGTGAACATTCTGTGGCATATAATTTGTATTTTAATTTCTAGATGTTAACTTGTGTCTGGTATAACAGGGCAAGAAATTAAATCTATATATGTTGGATAATATAGGCCCAAATATAGTGTATTTACCTGCTCTTTCTAACTGTGAATAAAGGGAGTTGTGTTTAAATGCAGAATGTGAGATTTAAGTAGGAAATATTCAGACCCTTTCTTCAAATTTGTGTATGAATTGAAGACAAAATGGAGCCTTGATGTTCTGCAGCACAAATTTTGAAGGTACGTTTCACAGCACCTCTGTAAATACATCATGTGACTGCTATGTATTTTATCTGTTCTATATTTGCACCAGGGCACCATGGCATAATGTGAAGAGTTGTACATTATTAACTCGGCGAAGTGCCCCTCTAAGACTTCATCAAGAACTTCTCTGTTGCTTATGTTGACTTTGCGAAACACTTGCAACTGGAGAAGACTGAGTTCTTGAGATCTTAGTCAGGAAAACTACACAAAATATGTATACCGGTAAACGGTAAATGTATTGCAATTTATCAATTGCATGTATGGCTTTGCAGAATTTGAAATCCTAGTAAATAGAAAATTGCGATGGGACAATAATATTGTTATTCTTTACTAATTACCCCAAAATAAACTGTGCCATACAAAATATACATATTGCTGCATGGTGGTTACTCTGTCAGGGATTACACTTTTAGTATGAGATATCTGGATTGAGAGACAAGATTTATTATCTGGAGATACTCTTTGAGTATGGCATTTTCATACAAGTATAAAGGTGGGTCTAGGTCAAAACATGATTACTTATCAATGGTCATATCGTCTTGACTTCTTTTTACTCAATTTCTTTGATGCTATTGAAAAAAATGAGAAGCAAATGTATTTTGCTGTATTTATATGAAGGAAAAAATTGAGAAGCTTGAAGAAAATGTGTGTGGAAAAATATTGTTAAAGTGATAAAATTAAAGAACCTAACATGATTTTTGTTGTCCATGTGCCGAATTCCAACTGTAGAAAACATGGAATTGAGTGTATTGATATATGAATGAGAATATAAATGAAGAAAGTATTAGTTTAGGTGTGTAATAAGACGTTACTTTTGTTGTATTACTGTATGAATGAAAAGTCAATAAAAGGCTCAATGTTTTTTGTCAAAGAAACATTAAAAAGAGAAAGGACAAGATGTAATTCTCATTATTCTTTATTATAATCTGCTTTGTTCATAATTTCAGAGTGGGGTGTGAATGTGTGTGTGAACAGAGAAAAAAGGAGATTGTGTGAAAGAGAAGGTGGTGAGATGGTTGGGGTGAGATGCAGAGGGAGAGAAGAGAAGGGTGAAAACATTATTAATTATTCATAATTTTTGTTGTTGGTGAAGAACTACTTCCTTCCAAATTTGGTAGTTTCTGAATATCAGTTTAATAAAATTAAGTATGGATTGATTGATTGATTGATTGATTTTTATTCGACAAGCTTCCAACATACAACAATATACAATAATAACAGATCAAAAATAAGTCAGCTTGAACAGGATAACCCACGAAAGCTCGAGAGCTTATTTCCAGTGGGGTCCCTTACAGACATGTATAAAATTAATACGTTAAAATAGAAATATTTACAGACAGATAAGAAAATTAAAAGAACTACTTATAAAAGATAATAATAATAATAACAACATTAAACTGATGATAGAAATGATATTAAGTACAAGAAGAAAAAGAAGAAGGAGAAGAAAAAAAAGAGGAGAAGGAAGAAGAGGAAAATAATGATGAATTTGTAGAATTTCTATAACGTACGAAAACATAAGTATATACAACATGAAAAAGTATGAACCGACAGAAGAATAACAATTTCAATCATATAACATGTCATTCACTTCTCTTCTCTGACTGTCAAGTATTAGGTATTCCTTTAATTTCCTCTTAAAATGATCATAGTTTTCTATTTCTTTTACACCATTGGGAAGGGAATTCCAATGTTTTATGGCATTGTAATAAAATAATGGAGGAGGCCTGGGGGGGGGGGGGGGGGGGGGTCCATGTATGGTCGGCTGTACTGTATAGAAGGTGTCTCATGAAAAAGTAATCGTCAAAAAAAAAATATGATAATCTGTTCCTGAAAGTAAATAAACCATTTTTGTAATAAAATCTAATTTAATGCATGAATCCATGTTAATTTATAATTTAATTCCCTTGTAATTAATAATTGTCAGAATGCAAATTGCATACATTGTTTTTGCAAACATTGTGGCTACCTAACAACAAGTAATATGCAATTCACAATTTGACTTAAAATGCCTATTCTTTTAATACCCGAGTCTCTCATAGATCTGCTTACCAATCGTACTTCTTAAACAAAAGTTGTTCTTGCACTCAAAACTTTCCAGAGGCTTTCCACGCACATGCATGTATCAACAATTAAATCGTTAGTTCTGGAGAGGAACATGAATAAATTGAAACGCATCAGTAAATAGGTCTATTATTAGAGACGCGCTCCTCCCGACCCGTCACAATAGAAATAATATGTCAAGTACCTGTGCTCCTAATGCATTCATACATTTATTTGCAGATTGATGGCACAGGTGCAAACATTCCTCTTTGTTAGATGCACGCTGATTGGTCGCTTGTATTCTATGGGCGTGATTTCGTCGAGTAGCGTACGCAGTCTCACCGCGAAGCTCTAGCCATGCTAATTTGTTAGCCCGCGATACCGGAAGAATTCTGGTAAAGTTTCCAAAGTGAGTGTACGGAAAGCTGTACCGGTGATACACTCCACTGCTCAGCCGATTGTAAGAACGTACATTCGGCTCGACTTGTGTGACTGTAAATGACTGCCGTGTTTTATAGAACTACATCGTTCTGTTTTTGTCGCCGAGTTCACTTTAGGTAAGCAAGTTTTATTTTAACATGATGATGATTGATGAATGAGTGATTTGACAGGGTTTGGAAGATGCAGTTTGCTTGCTCTTGGAAGTATGAAAGTATAATTTGTATGGGCGGGGTAGCAGACGTCAGATTGAATTGTGCACTGTAGTGCTTGACTTCTCTTTTCATCCTCGAATCGCTTTACCATGACATGAACTGTGCCATGCTTGTGCACGGCACTCCCAATGACAAACTACATTGATTAGAATGCAAATTACTGAGAAGGAGAAGGAGAAAGAAGAGGAGGAGAAGGAGAAAGTAGAAGGGAAGAAGAAGAAAGAAAAAAAGTAACAGATAAGAAGGGGTAAGGAAAAGGAAACAAAGTCTAAGGGAGAAAGATTAGAAAAAACAACATAGGAAGGGAGGAAATGAAGAATAAAGAGACAATCGATGTGACTGCACAACAGTGAAACATTATCAAGGGAGAACATACGAAATGAATTCTATTGTTTGTCCACAAGAAATAGCTAGGTGAGTTGTCTGTGACTAAATCACAATGCACTGACCAAATCGCCAATTTGAAATTTACTTTGATTTATAGTGATCTCATTTTTAAAATTTTATTTTTGGTTTGATTTATATCAAACTTTTACCCTCCTGTTTCTCTTATATCTTCTACTATCATATGACAAAGGTTGGGTTGCCCTTTAATTGTAGCTTCATCATAGTCTGATGGGATGGAGGACTTTACGTATGTTACCAGAGTATTAAAATTTATTAAAAAGTATTAAAATCCATTTTGCTATCTTTTTTTATCAACAAAGAATTGTCACTAGTAGATGGGGTATCGGTTAATAAAGTGATTATTAATCCAATCGATTTTCCCATTTTAAAAAAAAAAAGATTTAGGAATAATGCACTATTTCATTATAATTACATAACGCAAGTCATTTTCCATTTTCTTTTCTCGTCTTTGAAACAGTCCATCCAGTCATCATGGTGCGTGCTTTCCTTGTGCTATCTCTTGCAGTGACTTTCTACTTTGCTCTGGAAGCGAAAGGTAAGGTATACTTGTACATTATTGATGGTCTCACAAGGCTTGGGGGGGGGGGGGGGGGGTGCAAGATGCACCCTCCCCTCGATGAAAATTAGTATTTTTTAAAATTTTCATTCTCTCTCTCTCTCTAAGTGCCATATCGCTTGGCTTTGGCGATCATGCTGTTCCACAACCCTCGGCTCCTAGCCTTCTGTATTAGTGCCACTCCCAGTTCTTTCACTCCTCTCTCTTCCAATAATTTCTGCAGACTGTCCATCCAAAGTATCCTCCTTCTTCCCCTACTCCTCCTTCCCACAATTTTCCCTGTCAAAGCCAGATTCTCTAGGCCTTCTTTATGTGTAATGTGACCTATGAACTTTAACTTCAACATTTTCATTCTACTACTTCTATTATTTTTATTTTTCTTTTGTGGTTGTTGAGAGAGCTCTTTTTTAAGCATTGTTTATTCATCTGTTTATGCTCTGATGTACAGTATTCGTCTCTAATGCACACCCTCTTTCAACATTGTTTTTATACATGTACATGTATATCCTTATGACTGCTATTAGCCCGCCCACTTGCATAATTCTGTGACGACTGACCTTCATGCTAGTACCATGCACCCCCATTGTTTTAGGTTCATACAAACATAATGTTGACAGTGATGTTGAAGGGCATGTAAGCATTTATTAGACCAAGTGTTATCCATACAATGTATATGTACTCTAAAGAAGAGCAGTGCAAAATATTTTCAGATATTTAAGTTCATTTAATTTTATATAACTTGTATTAGTGAGTATATAATTAATTCAGTAATTTTTGTCTTATCATTTAATTGCATAAAGCCGTGGAAACAACCTGTCTTCTGCATCTCAAAATTAGCTTCTTTTAATAGCTATATTAGGCATATAAACTACATACTTTTAATTTAATTGTGCTAAGAAATTTGTATCAAACATCCGTTAAATCCATGAAGAATTGTACTTTAAATTGGTGAGCATAGAGGAGGGGAAAATGTGCCCCTCCCTATCACCGAAGTGTTCTCCTTTGCCAATTAAGCAAAATTTATTAATATATTCTATATTGTGGGGGCTTTGTCAGATTTTGACACATGTATATGTGGGGCCTTCTCCCACCAAATTAAAGAATCCTGGACCCACAACTGTTGATACAGTAGGGATATCTTTGTTGATATTTTGTTTATAAGGAAATACATTTTAGTTATAGCTTATAGGGCAGATTTCATTATCTCATAGTGACGAAGTTAAGCAAATCCAAGATCTTGGTATTTATATATATATATATATATATATATATATATATATATATATATATATATATATATATATATATGTTGTGTTTTTTTTTTTTGTTTTTTTTTGGGGGGGGGGGTGGTTAATCTTTTATCAGAATATTTTGTAAAATTTTTCTGTTTACAAATTACAAGCCAGTAATGTAATATTTCCATTTTCCAACCCAATTTTGGCAGAAAATCAATGTGAAAAATACAGCAATTTTTTTTCTCCAGAAAGTTATACATACATTGTACAACCTGTACAGCTTCAGATTTTTTATATTCAAAATAAATAGTCTAATTCTAATCTGGTGTCACTTAATGTAAGTACAGATACATTATCAAAATCTTTTTTTTTTTTGGGGGGGGGGGGGGGCATAAACTTCTCCACATCCCCATTTTTTTCTTCTTCAAATACATGTGTAATATGGACTCGAACTCAAATTGAATTCTTTCTGTAAACTGAACGTAACATTACATTTAGGTCAGCAATCCTTACTCTTTTATTCATTATTTTTTGCAACAAATGTCATATACAGTGTAAGAGTTATTAAATAAATCATTTGTCAGATTTTTCTATAGCTAAGTTAAAAATCACAACCTGTATCATGGTAAAGGATAGCTTGCATATTGAGTATAAGAATATAAATTGAGAGCCCTTCCCTTTAATATCCTAAATTCAAGTACATTATTTTCCCTGTCTAAGAACATGACCTAGATTAAATCAACTTGGGATATATTACATTCATTTCCATGTATTAAGCTTGATGTTCTGACACACATACGATTGGTTTCGATCAGGAAGAAATCCAATGGATGATTTTTCACCAGTCACTCCTAAGCATTTCTAGAGCAAGAAATATCAATTTACAGTTACATGACCAATTTGTAGGCATACTTCTTTATTCTATATTGAAAAATTAACAAACATTAGTTCAGGCAATAAGTCATGTTGTATGTGGCATGTACAAGGAACATAAAGATTTATCCTGTTCATGGTATATGATGACCATTGCTAATCATTTCCCATTGCTAATTGCTCAAAGATTGTGTTAGCCCCCCCCCCCCCCTCCTTTTTCAATAATTTTCCCCCTCATTATACCATGTTTTGGACTTATTACAATTCATCTTAACATGTAGTTCATTACCTAAAACCTGTTCATAGACCAATCCATAGCATTTTTTTTTAAATAGGGCACTCAAAAGTATATTTACAATGATTATGAAAAATTACAGAATTATGAACTAATCAACTAAAGGGCATATATATGCAAACTTTCCAAAATGTTGGCCTGTTTTTCCCATGTTTGGTAGTGATAATAATTGAAAGATAACAGACCATCTCTGCAATGTGAGACAAAGCAAATTTTATAGTTCAGTAGTCTGAAGATTTGATTTTATGGTGGAAATGTAGAAGTAATGGATCATACAATTCAGGAAACTTTGATGGTAAACTTGTGTGAGCTTGAATTTTCTGTTTAAATTGGGCAATTGTTTGTACTCTGAAAGAAGGAAACTTTGATGGTAAACTTGTGTGGGCTTGAATTTTCTGTTTATTGGGCAATTGTTTGTACTCTGAACGAAGGAAACTTTGATGGTGAACTTGTGTGAATGCATCTAAGCGCCAGTAATTTGACCCTGCTGTAGGTGTGTCAGTACTTTGGTATCTGACAGCAATGACCCCATCTACATTTGAGGTCAACCAGCCAGACTTCCCACTAGTCTTACCCTAAGAGACCCATTTGTTTTACTTTATATTGTCTATGTGCATTCTGGTTTTCTGAATGTAGAATTTAAGCTATATTTGCTGCAAGAAAGATGAAAATAATGCCCTGTATCTGTGATCTGAAATTTTGAAACAAGCATCCCTGATCTGTAAAGGATTTCCACATTTTCATATTGCCCCCCCCCCCCCCCCCCCCGCAAAAAAAAAAAAATGTTAAGAAGGTTATGGAAGTTGAGACTATAGGCCTTCAAAATCAGACCATATGTTGCAAAGATGTGTTTTGCCATTTGATGTGGCTGACTTAATGAAGTGGCCTTACTGGCCTAGAATATATCAATTAGCTGCCCTTTTTTTAAATTTTAACCCTCAAAGTCTTGACAAATCTTTTATAAATCGTGATATTGCTATTATGTTCCTTATTTTGAATCTCTATATACATATATCTCATCTTTGAACCAACTTTTTCTGTATTAGGAACCTATGTAGTATGTACTGGAGAGATTTCTTAAAGAATGTGCTGCTTAAAGATTGGGGATAGATCTGCATACAAACCTGTCAAAAATCTCCATTATTGAGATTGGCTACATTAAAAAGCAGTTAAAAATAGGGAGGTATTTTCATTCATATGCAAATTGTGCAGCCAGTCTCAGTACTGGGGTTGTAAACAGAAAATTTCTGCCTTGCCTTCTTTGGTCACCCATTGTAATAAGATTTTCAAAAAGATTTTCCTACACATGGATTGATATTGATAATTCTTTGCTTTAAGTTATTCTGAATATACCGTATGCAATAGTTAAGGGGTTTTCATCGATTCTACTATTGAAATAATTAATGTTTATGCATGTCTTCTACCTATGAGGTGCTTAAAAGGTAACTTTGACAGATGAGAATTACACTGCCTATTCCCAAACAGTTTGCGTAGAGAAAATATGAATAGAGAAAAGTTTTGTAAAACTGATTTTTATTCAAATATTTTGTTTAGTATAACCACTTTTTTTTTATTCATTTGGTCATGTATATGTAGGCCCCAAACATTCAGTTAAAGAGATAGTTGAGTTTTGTTGCAAAGGGCGCTACACAAAAAAAGAAAATTGTGAGATAATGAAAAAATACAATTTAAATGACAAAATCATCTTTGTTTGATCAAAATCGGTTCAAAGAAAGCTAAAATATCCATAAATATAACCATTTCTAATATTGGTGGTGCCCCACAAGTATTCGGTAATTTTGAACCAGCCATTGAAAAATGAGATAGCCCTTATACGTTTTAATCCAGCCAATGCTAATATCGGCATTTTGTTGGCTTTTTTGTGTTGGTTATAATTAATTAACGATCACTGTACTTTTTTTAAAGTGGACTCGGATTGGAATGTCTCTTATTCAATCTACATTTTTGTAAATTCACGCGTTTTGGGGTCTAAAATGACCTTTTTAGTATCCTACATATTTTGTTGATACATGTGTGTACAAGTACCAGTTCATTGAATTATGATGATTAGGAAACGAATGTATAGCAATAGTAAATTCATCCAGATGAATTGATCAAATATATATCTCCTTTCATGTTGTGTCTACAGCTGAGCTGGAATGTACCACTGTGTTCAAGGGGTGTAACATCGTAGGCCAGCAGTGTGAGTGCGGAAAGCAGACGGCATGTGAAAATCCATGGATGTTTGCTAGCAGCAAGCTCTGTCGCCATGCTATGTTTGGTAAGAACAAATCTGCTCATAGTCTGTTGAATCTGTTCATCTTTTCTTCATTATCGGATTCATTTTCCTTCAAATTATATCCATAATAGAGATTTACTATCCTTGTGTCATCTTCAGATCGTAGTCAAATCAATTCTAATTGTTTGAAATACTCTTTTGAGAGTGGTTTCCATTATATTCCATATGAGCCAAGTCCATGCACGGACAAATTTAAGAAATCCCTGAAACATATCTCTTTCTTTTAATTTGTACTTATTTTAAGTCTAATTCAATATTGTGTAATATTTATTTTGTAAATTCTGTAATACCGTAGTTGTACTATGTAGAACATACATGTACTAAGTGCTACCGGTAGTTATATTTGTTACAATGAATTTTCAACTTAAAAATTAAGTGATTGCTAATGACTCCTATTAAAGAGTTACAAATTACAGAGAGTTGCTTGAATGAATCGGTCCATAGCTTATAATCTCAGTGTGATTGATGTAGGTAGGTATGAGCCTAATGAGGGACCCTAATCAGCAGCACTTCTTGAAGGCCTTTATTATTCAGACCCCATGCTGGTTTGGTAATGGGGAGAACAAAATGGGATAGCCTAGGAAGAAAATAGATTCTGTTGTTTAGACTGGATTAGAAGAGTATCATAACAAGTGGGCAGGAAAACAGATTGGGAAAGGAAACGGACGGTTTCCCTGCTGTTTTATGGAGCATAAGAGGAAGATTAACAGGAAAAATTAGAAATACAATTATTTACATTGTGCAGTAGGTTGCATAGGAAGCTGACTAGACAGAAAGTTTGGGAGAGAAAGGAAAGAGATGGATAGGAATATAGAAGGGGAGAGAAAGGGCCGGGCGTAGAGAGAAGGACAAGGAGGAGAGAGGGAAAGGAAGGAGAGAGGGAAAGGAAGGAAGTAGGAAAACGCAAGCAATTATAAGAGGAAAGGTCAGAGGCTTCTTGCATAAAGAGTGGTATTTAAACACAATTAACACAACTCAATATTTAACCAATCAGGAAAATATACTGGGCCTATATAAGTACTACAGTGTACATAGGTAAAGAAGGATGAAAACGATCTGTTCCACCCCTTCCCCCCTCCTCCATAACCTCCCCTATTCTCATAGTTTTTTTGGGGGCCTATTCTCTCCTTTCCCCATATTTCTCATTAAAAATAATGGCTTCCCTCCCCCCCCCCCCTCTTTTCTTCTCGCCTTCCACACTTTTGTCTTCTTGTTCCATTCCCATCATGCAGGGGATGCTTGCAAGAACCATGTCTGCCATAACCAGGGGGTGTGCGTTCAGCAGAAGGAAGGTGCCATCTGCAAGTGTGCCGGCACTGGTTTCTATGGTGACCACTGTGAACAGGGTAAGTCTTTTTAGATTTAAAAGATTTTTTTTGTGCAGTAAAATTGCCGGATTTTTATTCTCTTTTTAAAGGGGCACTTTATTCTCGAAATTGATGTGACAAGACATGGGGGAAAATGGATGAGGATGTTGAATGTGTTACAGTGTATATCTTCAAGTGCATAACAGATATCATGAGCTGTACAGTAATACACTTCCTAAGAAGCTCTCCACTCGCCTTTCACATCCTAATATTTCAGGCCAATATATGCCTTCTAAACCATGTATAATTTGGCTTTCAAACAAATATTTGAATATATTTCTTCTTGAGGTTCTTGATGGTCATATGAAAAGTAGAATTGAAATTGTGAGAATTTCTAAGCCTTCCAATCAGAAAAAAGCGCCAAATCAGTTGCGAAGGGCTATGATTATATACAGAATGACCACCAAACGGTAGTCAGTTGGGCTTTTGCTGTGACTGGAGGGCTCATAGCATCTTGTATGTTCAATATTAATAGACCTCAATGAAGAACCTTTAGTTGTGTTTTTAATTTCCTGTCGTTTAATCCTATTTTGCCTTTCAAAATCTAAACTTTGTCACGATGTAAGATGTGATATGGCCTTTAAACAAAAGAAATGATACTCAAATACTCCTTCATTTTATCTCTTTCTCACCAGTTTGCCCAGCCACAGAGGAGATGAAGAGAATGGATGCCCTCCCTACTGCCTGTGTTATACCATAAAGATGATAAGAGATGATCTTCCATATTATCTTGCATTTCATAATTGACAATCTAGTCTTCCATCTCTGAAATACATGCTGTCAATCAGGCCGGGTCATTGCGGTATTTGAGTACCAGGTTTTTGTATACCTTTACATTTTTTCCTACGCGTGTTTGCGCTTTTGCTAAAAAAAAAATGAAAACTAATTGGATTAGTTTCAGAGATTTGTTAGCACCATTACAAGCATCAGTTCAAGCGTGATATTAGCCGGCAAACATCTTGAAATATGTGGGGTTTAGCATAAAACCGGCACTTATAACTTCAATGGGCATCATGGGCATGGGAGATTAAATGAAAGACAAAATCCAAAAAAAAAGTGGTCTCGGCTATTAATTGTTTTTGTATAGATAAAAAGAAATATTTTTGAGATGAAAGCATACTCATAATACCGCCAATGGCCTTTCAACAGCACATATTTCGTTTCTTATAATATTCTTTTGGGGTAGGGGATGTCATGATTTTCTATTTTCCCTGAACTGCATCAGGAAGTGATAATGAGCTCATTCTTGTCTGTTCCAATCAGATTTTCAGGAACGTTACAATTACTTGCTAGCTATTTTATTTCAAAAACTTAAAACACAACGAAGGAAAAAGAAGGGGGGGGGGGTTGGAAGGGAAAAGATCTGTGATCTTTTAAACTATGCCTCAACTCAAATGAAATGGTAAATTTTCTTCTTTTATATAATGTAATCTTGATCTCACCCTTTATGGAGCATATAACAAGTTTTATCATCCTTCATATTTCTTGGACAGTATTTTGACACCAACTAGTATTTGTCTAACCCACCATCATTTGTGCTGCACTGCACTGCCATTTTCTAATAAATTACATGTAATTATTGTAAAGTGTTTTCAATTATTTTTTCTTCTACTAAAATTTAAACCTATGAAGTATTGATTGTAGAGAACTTTTTTTTTAAGAATTAGGAGAAATGTGTGAAAATATGGGCTGACCTAAACATGTTAAATGTATTCACAAACAGAATTTATCTGTTTTTCACCCTGTAACAATGTTTTCATAATAATTAAATGTTGGTGCTATGTTTATATGCAACATGATTTTGATTATGTAACATCTACATATATGTGTCTGTGCCCTCTTATTGAGAGAAAATGTTGATAACATACATGTCTACAAACTTCTGATTATTTAAAGCAATTCTTAGTTTGATACATTATTTGCACTGTAATGCATTTATAAAATGTGTTGACGTTTTAGTTTACTTACAACCTTCATTTTGATACGTAATATGGTGCTATTGTGAATGTTGACTGTATGAATAAAAGCTGTTCAGTATTACTAAATTCATCTTTATCTTCATAACAAATCATGACATCTAAAGGTCAGTTTCATTCTTGAGAAACCAGATTATTGAATTATGTTTTATAGGTCAATGTCACTCGTAGACATTCTTTTTTATATTTTACTTTTGATTATCATATGCTCTCAAATGTAGAGGCAGTTATTGTCCATGTTTTTGCTTTTTAACATTGCTTTTTAAAAGTATAACATGTAAATAATTATATTTAACATTTTAGCTTTCATAATGTACATTCTTTGCTTATACACCTCATTTAATATCATTTCATACTTAACAGCTCAGTATGATATATTTATTTATATAGTTTTGCATTGTAGCTTGTATTTTGTATTAAAATATTGTTCACCTGTATTTATGGAATCCTGTCTTTTTTGTCATGTGTTTTAACAAGGTTACTTCATATTTGTATCACACCGATTACATTTCACATTTCACCACAAGCACATGAAAATGTAGAGTCCCAGAAAAACGAGAATCAAACAAAAGATTATTGTGAGCAAAATATTAGCTGTATAAATTTAATTTCTTGTTCTTCATTTAGTATATTAGTAGAAGTAATGGACTTTTGATTGGTAAATCGATATTTGCTTCACTGTACCGGTAGTATCTCGTGCGAACATGATTTAAGAAAGGCTTTGAAAGATAATACAAGATTTCCATTTTAAAAAAATTAGAGGCAAATACCAATTTTGGTGATGATTGGGGCAATGAAAAGGGAAAAGATGGAAAAGTATCTATGGGAGTATCGTGGGAGGAAATTAAGACATCGTGATTTTGTTTACCTTGGCTACAGGACTATAGTTTCTTGTGGAAATTTAGTGTATTGCCGGACTTGTTCTTTAAAGAAATCCTATTTACAATCCAAATGCCACTTTTTATTCTCACCAATATTTCCGCTATCCTTTAATCTAAGATGATTGCATTACTTCTGCCCTTGTTATTAATAATAATAATAATAGCCTAATAGTCCACTCCAAATTTTATTAAACCGAAACGGAAATTCATGTCATGTTCACCATGATCATAATGCTTTCAAGGTTTTATTAAAATTTGGCACAAGTGGATCTTCAGTTGCTATTTCAAAACAATTTAAAAGTATTGGCAATGGTTTTTCTAGGTATACATTTAAAATTTCATTGGGATTGGTCGGGTCATTAATACAATAAAGACATTTCATTTTGTTTTACTTAAGAATCATTTATTAACATTTCCAAAATAAGTAAAATACGATATGACACAAATACATGTAGTACCTTACACCTAATAATGCTGTATGTTTTAAAACAGTATTTCAATGTGTGATCGAACATGTGGGGGTAATGGCATGCACAGGGGATTAACACCGCGTTGAGTCATGATTTACTCTGCACGTAGGGATAATTCTAAATTGATTACCGGTAAGAAGCGTGACCAATCATTGTAACCTATGACAAAGACACCCCTGGTATGATTCATATGAAGAACCTTTGTCACAGGGCATTTGATCATGATTGAGGCTAAAATTTCTGATTTATTTAAAGGGCCCATAACATCGAAATACAAGTGTATTCCTGTTGGTGTGCAGTCCTGCATACATCTCATATTTTGATATGTAAACTTGTGAATTTGTTTTATAGATATTTAAATATTTTTTGACATTTGTTTTTCAAACTTGCTAAGCTCCACCCAAAAGAACTCCAGATCTCATTCCCCTTGTGACATCATCTGTCAATCATCAATGAGCTAACTTGAGAAAGGGCATGTAACTTTGCTAAAGTTGACCAGAATACACAATGGTATGTAATTTCCCCCAGCTTATCACACGTTCATAATAGAATTGCATGCTTCCATACATAATTATGTACAATACATCATCATCATTGCCTTTGTCTTCCTGGTGATGCTACAGCATGCCTGACATAGAAACTTGTATGCTGCTATTGTATTACGTATTGTCACAGGTGGTCGACTTCGGCAAAGATACATACCACTTTCTCAAGTTAGCTCATTGATGACTGACAGATGATGTCACAAGGGGAGTAAGATCTAGAGGTTTTTGGGGTGGAGCTTAGCAAGTTTGAAAAACAAATATGTCAAAAAATATTTAAATATCTATGAAACAAATTCACAAGTTTACATATCAAATATGAAGGACTGCACACCAACAGGAATACACTTGTATTTCGATGTCATGGGCCCTTTAAAATGACAGTTCATTGATTGCTTATTAGCTCATTTTGGCATTACATGTACATCTGATATTTACCTGTATGTGAATTTGAAAATAAAAGATTTGAAAATTGTCTGGTGTTATTTTTTTTTAAATGGCCAAGTAATAACTCACTTCAGAGATAGCTCTTGTACAAATGACCCCGAATATACATGGAGGATTCCCATGTTTGTGCATTTAAGAATAATTCCTGTCATCTCGATTGGCCTTACAGTTTTGTACAAATGACCTTTATCTGCCCATGTGCAGACAGTATGACACTCTGAAGTGGCTTATTATATCCCTGGGTCATTCTGTGTTAGATCACCCAATAGGGACTTTTAGATTTACACGACGAGAGTGTGGACTGCCGTGTGTTAACACTATGAACATGACGGACAATGAAAGCGGACAAAATATACAGTTCCTCAGGTAGACAAAGGAACATCCCTTCACTGTTTATTATGTAAAAATGTGTAGAACAGGTGTCACATACATAATCACCTGTTCTACACATTTTTACATAATAACAGTGAAGGGATGTTCCTTTGTCTACCGGAGGAACTGTATATTTTGTCCGCTTTCGTCATGATCATAGTGTAAGGCACTGGGCTGTGCATTAAAAGGATGTCACATGTGGCGGTCCACGTTCTCGTAAATCTTAAAGTCCCTAATGGACTAAACTGGGTATAGAGGAGTATTAACCGAGGCTTTTAATAGCTGAAACATAAGTTTTAGCTACAATGGCCATTTAAATTTGCCATTATGTCCCATGTTTGAACACCATAAAGTTCAGCAGAAACTATGAAAATCACTACACGAATTGGCAACTTTGTCGACAGAAACCTCCTTTGTGACTTCTGGCCATAAGAAGATTTGAATTTTATAATAAAAAAAATTACAGAGAAATTGTTGTTCATGTGCATTATTTTATTACATTTGGCATTGCTTGGGAGGCCCCGATTTCAATCGATCTAGCCCATGTACCAAAATGGACAATACAAAACCTGATAAATATACCTGTGGGAATAAGTCGTCACCTTCAAAATTGGGGTCAATTTTTTCTTCAAGGCCCAAATTCTGTCGGAAGAGCGGTACATTACATATGAAAACTGACCACTCTCCCGAGAGAAACATGGGTATTAAAGGAAAAATTGACCCCAAGTTTGAAGGGAGCATCTGACAACTCGTTCCCATAGATATTTTCATCAGTTTTTGTTTTGTACTGTCCATTCATACTACTTCTGAAGGAAACATTTGGTACATGGATTGAAATCGACCAAACATGGCTATGGTCAGGCTTATAAATAATGTTTTTTCTCCTTCATTTAAAGTGAAACATTATTATGGATTAAAGTATTGAAACAAGAAATAAAACATTGAATGAAGCAATCAAACCAGTATAACCTATAATATCTTTGGGGAGTTAAGGATTGTTCAGATATGATGCGGCAAAACAGAGGTGTTCTTTTTACGACGACATAAAGTATACGATTCACAAATCTCTGTATTTTATAGCACAGTGAACATGTGCAGGACCTTTGTGGTACGCAGTTGCCATTTATTTACACGTAGAAAAACTACAGCCATTTACTGCGCCATATTTGAACAAGCCTTAATGGTTACAGATTTTTCCCCAAGTGATGTGACCCTGACTGTATTATACTCACTTTAGTTCCCTGACATAATAACTCAACAAATATTTGATTAAAATCATACCCCCCCCCCCCCTAAAAAAAACACCTGGTATGCAGAATTTTTGTTAAACCTACATTTCGAATGGAGAGATGCTAAATGTAATATTGATTTAAGAATTGCAATAAAATCCATAACTTAAGTTACAAAATATCAATCATTCAAAAATAATCAAAATGGGCACAAAAATTCTGCATATTTTGCTCCATAAACGAGTTAAATGTGGTATTTCTTAACTGCCGTGAATATTCATGTACTTAATATGTTTCAAAAGAAACCATGGCTTACCTTGATGTAACTGTATGAACAACATTTTGTAAAATAACCAGTTTTCAGAATAATAGATAATGTAAGGGGTGTGCATGGCATCAAAGTCACTACATATTTCGACAGTAGTACTATACTTCAGCAATAAATGTTTGGTATTGCAATTTCGACAGGGATTGCTTAATTAACAAATTTCAATTTTGCAACACAACCCCATCAGTACTTTCCTTATTTACATACCTTGAACAGGAATCTATGTACATTACAATTATACTGTCAATTAAACAATGTGTATGTGCTGGGACATTTGGTACAATGCCTGTCATCTGCCTTACGTAAATAAATAAGTAAATAAATATCAAATTAAAGTATTCAAGAAATGCTTTTATGTTTTTACAATGATAGTGTGGACAGGATTCTAATTGAATGTGAGATATATTCTTAATTCTTATATTTGGGGAACTTTTCCCCCACATATATGAAACTTTTTTTTTTTTGGTCAAAATAACAAAGCATCGCTAAGATACTTCAGAAATCACAATGAAACCACTTTACCAAATGAGAACAAAATTAATGAAAATTTAAATGTAAACATAGTTAAACAAAAGAGAAAGGTTACTAATGTATTCTAATTAATGCCCGTTTCTTCTAAAAAGCTATAGTTTGACATTTTACTTTATAAGAAAGTACTGTATGCATGAAGTCCAAATACATTAATTAACTTGGTGTTAATAAACACCTTGGGACTAAGAAATAATATAACCTATGCACACCAAGAAATTCAGTCTCTGGATATTTTCAAAATGAAAGTGAAATGAAACGTCTAAAACAAAATACAAAGTCAAAATAACAACCCTTAGCACATTCAATGTCAAGACTAACAGCTACATCTATAAACAACAAACAAAGTGGGAATTTAGCAGAATCCTATTTAAATTCTTGGAATAAAACAAGAATTTGATCTCCAAAACAGAGGGCTGAAAATATCTTAAGTTGATTGTAGTATTCCAATCTATGCCTCACATACAAATCTATGCCCGGAGCATATATTCTATGAAAACAATTTGTAAGCCATAATTTGACCTTGAATAAGGTACGAACACCCTCGCTCAGTATAATAAGACACATTACCCAATGACAAATAAATGGAACATGAAAATGGAAAACACAATGTACAAATGATGGATACGATTGGAACCATAATTTACAACAAAATTGGTATAGGCTTGGTATAGACTACAACGGCACGTTGCTAAAGAGATACGAGACCGACTCTCCATTATGCGTCCTGCGGATGGCCTCTGCAAGCATCATCGAGATGTCAATGACCTGTGTAAGAGAGAGAGAGGGAGATAGATTTAATGAACATGTCAACAGTGATCCTAAAGAATGATGATAGCTATACCAGGAGGGTCACAGAAATATCATGTTTTAGTGAAGGGGGGGGGGGAGGTGGGTGGGTACTAGAAATATTAGACACTGTTTAAAGGTCGGGTGACATCCAAATATAAGTTGATTCCTGTTGATGTGCAGGGCTGCATACAACTCGTATTTTGTTATTTAAATATCTAAATATATCCATATTTGTTCATATATTTTTTTTAATAATTCTCAGACCTGCTAAGCTCCACCCTTAAAAAAATTCTCCAGATCTTGTTCATCTTGTGACATCATCTGTCAATCATTTAGGTTCTAAAAATCCAGAAAATCAGAATATTCTGGATTATTCGGAAGGGTTGGCAGGTAAGTGAAAGTGGTTGAACTTATTCATTTAAGTGAGACTGCACTACCCGGTACTCGTAGCTACTTGCGCCCTCTATATAGCCAACAATGCCTAAGCGGTAACCGTTGATCCCCCATGGGACCCTTTTTGTTATGTTAATTGAGAGATGATTTGATGAGATAACCACCAGTCAATAGGGACTTTTAGATTTGCACGTCGACAGCTTTGACTGCAACATGTGACGTCATTTTAAGGCACTGCGCATGCGTCACGTCGTCTCAGTCGGCGATCGAGAATGCGTCAACCTTGATTTTCCTAAATCTAGTACGGTACTAGTATATGCCGCGTGCGCATAAAATATCAGGTAGACAAAGGAAAATCCCTTCCCTGCTATTATGTAAAAATGTGTAGAACGGGTGTCACATGCATATTCACCTGTTCTACACATGTTTACATAATAGTAGTGAAGGGATGTTCTACCACAGCAATAGGCCATTTTCGTAATGTAACCAAATTTAATGCATATGTCTTTGTGAAGTGCCTCAATACGAACTATTTCATTCACCTGATAGGAATAATAGTATTTCAATAGTCAAAATTCAAACTGCATTATATTAAGTGTTGCTATAGGTAGGTCAAGCCATAATGTTTGTATAACCTGGCAACAACTAATGTATGCAGTTCGGACTCTGTCTAATGAAATACTATTATTCTTTTCAGGTGAATGAAATAATATGTATTGAGGCACTTCACAAAGGTTTATGCATTAAATTTGGTTACATTACGAAAATGGCCTATTGTTGAGGGTAGAATGTGGAACTGTATTTTTTTTCCCTCTTTCTTTGTCCGTCATGTTCATAGTGTTACTTCCTGCATGCATGTATATCGTCGAGTGCAATCTAAAAGATTTCTAATTGTAGTCAACATGGGCAGTTGAGTACGTTGACACGCATGATCAGTCGGCGTTCGTCGTGTTCTCGTCCACTCAATCTAAAAGTCCCTACTGATCATGCATGGAGGTCTAATCCCTCCTAGCCAAACTAGTGCAGATAGGCTTTAACATTGGTAACATTATGTAAAAATATTCCTGTAAGTAAAAATATGCCTACGAATGTGAAAAATTCATAGTTTATTATCAAGAAAAATAAGAATCATTATTTTTACAATTAAATCCAAACCATTTGCTATTTCATGCTGCAATGATGGTTATAAACCTTTAGGTCAGTCAGGAACCCCATGACTTTTACAAGCCGATCGTCTGTCTGATTATCAAGATATTTATGATTGGAAATCAAAATAAAATTTTGCATTTTCCTTAACGGTTTTCATAACACTACAGTCTATTGGGGGAAAACGAGTATGGTAAAACCAGTCACTCAAAGAGTTTTTACTTTTTTGAGGCATTTCTTGGTCATTTTGAAGCGCAATTTTTTTAGGGTTTCAATATTACACCATATCACAGATACTGATAACTTGTAGGGCCATGCATCTCAGATTTAACCTTGTTAAACGATGACCTTAAGAAGAATATTACTCACGGCAATTTTACTGCTCTGTTTGCACTTGTCCTCTTGAGGGATTGTATTCGTGACGACGACCTTCTCAAAGCAGGCGTTATTGATGCGCTGGATGGCAGGCCCAGAGAAGATACCGTGGGTGAGGATGGCATAGACTTTGATCGCACCAGCATCCTTTAATCTACAGGGGAGAATGAATAACCCAGTTCACGTTTAGCACGTCCCAAATGACCCCAAATATCCACAGATCTTCAAAACATAAAGAGGTCCCACTTTGTACATTCTGAAATAATCATTCCTAAAGCGATGGAGGTGCTACATAAATAGCCTTTGATTCCCCTTTTCAAAGCATACTTCCACCTGTGTATCATGGAGTGCACTGCTTGTGCATAAATAGATAATGATTACATAACTTTCATGAGCACATATCCAGTATTTTGTCGCTGTATATTTCACAATTGGGTCTGCAATGACCTTTATCTGCTCATGCTCAGAATGCAACCGTGTACTGGCTTATTTGAGAGGGTTAGAATGACTATTAGGGAGGAGCCGCAATGGCTCAGTGGTAAAGTAGTGGTCTGGAGGGGTCCCAGGTTCAAAACCCAAGTCAATGCGCTTGTGCCCTTTGGTTAGGCGTAATCCTTATTACCAAGTCCGTCAGAGAGGACTTAAAGCCGACGGTCCCCTGGTTGCTTACTTTCAAGCATATCATACTTTCTTAGCAGTCAGGTAAAACAATCATCATCTTAAATCAAGGAAAAACATGGTGTCAGAGCACACTGCAAGGTAAAATAGCACCTGAGCATAGAAGGAAGCATTTGGATGTTTTGGATGGACTCATTTTCAGACATTTGCCAGAATTGTCAAGCATTCTTTGAAAATTCTGTAAGTATGCAAACAATCGCCATTTTAAACAAACGTTCACTCATCATTTGCTTGCACCTGGGTTACACAGGGACTTTGTTGGGGAATGTGCCCTTCCCTCAACCCCCAGCTTTTCTATAGCAATCTATGTGATATTTGCTATGAAAAATTGAAAGTAATCCTAAGTGCATAGGACAGCAATATTGGTTCAATACAAGAATTATTGACTTCAATATGTGAACATTATTCATCACGTCTCCAACTTTGTCAAATATTTTGGTATTGGCTATTTCTTAGTATTGGCCTCAAGGACATTCAAAATTATAGTCAAAATTTACAGGTACAGTCAAACCTGCTTAAGTTACGACAGGTTTACAAAGACCACCTGCCTACAAAGACCACATTTTTTGTTTCCCTTGAAAAGGGTTTATCATTGAAACATGTACTAAAGGAACCTGTCTACAACGACCACTTTATGTGTTTCCCTTGGGCGGTCACTATAGACAGGTTTGACTGTACATTCATCCCTGAACCAATGACTTACTTTTCAGCAGCATGGCAGATGGTGCCACAGGTATCGGCCATGTCATCGACCAGGATAGCGACCCTGTCCTTGACATCACCGACCAGGACCATGGAGGCGACCTCATTGGCCTTCTTGCGCTCTTTGTGAATGAGGGCGAACTCGATGTTGAGCCTGTCTGCGATGGATGTCACCCTGTATTAAAGTCAATGGGAGATTACAAATTACTGAAATGACTCTCACTGAATGACACATCGAGGGGTCAGTGACACAAAGACGTAACTCCTTTTTGGCCATTTTGAGAAAAAGTGGTTTATGTGTCATTGAGCACTTGGGCCTAAGGAGTTAAGTCAATGTGTCATTGAGCACTTGGGCCTAAGGAGTTAAGTCAATGTTTCACTAGACATTGACTTCAATGGGGTGTTGGTTGGGGTTAAGTCTTTGTGTTTCCTGGAAAGCCAGCATTTTTCTGAACATTTTGATACCAAATACTCATTTTGGCAAAATATGGAGTTACGTCTTTGAGTCACTGAACCCTTGACATTCTGTAGTGACAATCACTTTGTGGTAAATGTTGTAACACGTGCTAGCCATATCAACCCAGGATCCAACATAGTACCCAAAAATGAAGTGGTAACCATTAACTTAAAGTGACTCTGTAACATTGCCTCAGATTCTCAAACAAAATCCTGGATAAAGCTCATGCTGCAATCATAATTATAAACCTTTAGGTCAGTCAGGAATCCCATGACTTTTATAAGCCGACCGCCTATCTGATTATCAAGATATTTAAGATTGGAATTCAAAATTCAAAAAACATTTCCCAACGGGTTTCATAACACTACAGTCTATTGAGGCACTTCATGATCATTTTTAAGCGCAACATTAATATAGGACCATGCATCTCAGATTTAACATTGTTAAACGATGCCTTTTAAACATGCATATATATAGGGACAAATGTTAAAGATTGGCATTCTGTTTCCTCATTGTTTTGTTTTCTCTTCACTTTTGCTTCTTTTTTGTTTTGGTTATTAACCAATTTCCTAAATTTCTTGTCCTGTATCCTTTTCATAATTGCTTATTCAGATTATTAATAAAGTGTGCTTATTTGTGCTTAATTCGCCCTCTTCTGCTCTGTATGAGGCTTCAATTCAACAAACCACATTTTAAGTTTTTGTAGCAATCAGATCATGTCATTCGTCAGCGGTTTCAAGAGACCATCACAAAAAGAGACTGATAAGAATTCAAAGAAGAACTCTATCAGTGTCCCTGTGAGGGTCTCCCTGCTGTGTGTGGTACCCCAGTCCTGTTTCCTACAGGCCACCCAAAGTCTGCCAGTAAAACACTGTCAAGTTATGGGAAGAGCCCTTGTAGGAACAGAGACAGGGACCACAGACAACAAAGCTCAGAGAATGGATTGACTTTAACATCATCTTGCTCTTATAAAACGAACCCTGACAATTCCTTTTAAGTGAGAAAATTCTTGTAAGCAAGTATTATAACTTGTTCAACATCCATTCTTTCTTTGTAAGTGGTAGAGGTAACCATTAACTTAAAAATGACTCATTAACATTGGCTCAGATTCTGAAGCAAAATCCTGGATTGAGCTCATACTTCAATGATAATAATAAAACTTTAGTCAGTCAGGAATCCCATGGCTTTTACAAGCCGATCGCCTGTCTGATTATCAAGATATTTATGATTGGAAATCAAAATTTGATTTTTCGTTTTCCTAACGGTTGTTATAATACTACAGTCTATTGGGAAAAATGAGTATGGTAAAACCGGTCACTCAAAGATTTTTACTTTTTTGAGGCACTTCTTGATCATTTTGAAGCGCAATTTTGTCTAGGGCTTCGATATTACACCATATCACAGACACTGATTACACGTCGGGCCATGCATCTCAGATTTAACATCGTTAAAGGAAACCAAAACCTTCATACTAAGTTACTTTTATTGTAAAGTTTAAAAGATTTGAATAAAATCAGTGAAAATTTGAACAAAAACGGGCAAGGAATAAGGAAGTGAGAGCTTTTTGAAATGACTAGTCACTAGAGGGCAGTATTTAATTTGATGACATCATCTGTGAACAACTCTCCATGCCATTTGTACATAAAATTTCACAATTTTGTTGTTTTCTTCGTATTTATTTGTGTTCTTGATCCGACTTCATAACATGTGAAGTAGAATATCATTTTGCATTCTATATCTTGCTTTCGGGGGAGTACATTATCTCAATCACAAGAAAGAAGGAAAAACATGAAATTTGATGTACAAAAGGCATGGAGAGTTGTTCACAGATGATGTCATCAAATTGAATACCGCCCTCTAGTGACTAGTCATTTCAAAAAGCTCTTACTTCCTTATTCCTTGCCCGATTTTGTTCAAATTGTCACTGATATTTTTCAAATATCTTAAACTTTACAATAAAAGTAACTCAGTATGAAGGTTTTGGTTTCCTTTAAACGATGCCTTTAACCTATAACAACCCAAGCCCTAACCCAAAATCTTTGATGAAATAGAGCCTCCATCAACTCAAGAAATGCTGCCTGAACGAGTATGTTTATTTGGCAGACAGCTCTAAGCAAATCAGATGGACAGAGAAGTAAAATTTTTGGCCTTAAAAAGATTTAAATATACACAAATCGTTTAATGAAACTGTCACACATGTAAGTAGAAGTTTCCTCGACATCTCTTTTTGCTGTCTGCAAATTTGTTTCATGAGATAATACCCAAGGTTAATGTATGTTCAATGTTCTTAAATATAGACTTCTCCCCAACAAACGCTTATGAGAAATCAATGTTGTAGAGCCCTTCAGGACCGGTTCCTGATCCTTTAGTTCTTTCATCCTTACCTCTTTGCGCCTCCTGCATCAGGTGAGACAATGATGCTGTTGCCCCATTCAGGGATGTTCTCCTTGATCCACTTCAGAACGGCTGGCTCAGCATAGAGATTGTCAACTGGGATGTCAAAGAAACCCTGGAAAGAAAAAAAGAAGGGAGATTTAGTTTTAGTAGGCATCATCTTCCTTTGTGCCAAGTAACATGCTATTGTTAAAGAGTATCCAATTCCAATCCAATCCAAAATGAATTTGATATAACGGCTTTTCTTTGCAGTTACAAAGCGATGCTCAGGTCAGCTGTAGCAGTATGGTCACATATCTGGCTGCCTCCCTGCCTGTGCTGCTTCTGTGTACTAAGTTAAGATTTTGGTAGGAGTCCTGCCCCAAATTAAGAGCCATTGCTGGTGCTCAAACAACTACAATGTAGAATTAGTGCAAGTTTCTGCTCTTTCTGACAAGAATGACTGCCAGCTTTTCTTTTAATGCAGTACAGAATACAGGATAAAGATGCAGTACAGAATACAGAATAAAGGTGATGCAACTCATAGATAGAAGACAAATCAACCTCTCTTGCTGTTTCACAAACTAAGAAGAAATACAACCTGTAATGCCTTGCCTGAGGCACATGGTTCTTTTCCAGAGCTCTGACTGGGTGTGTACCCTTTCGGCACATGTTCAGTACAAAGAGCATGGCCAAGCTCAATAGGTCATGTTTGTAATGTAACCAAATTTAATGCATACCGGTAAGTCTTTGTGAAGTGCCTCAATACAAATTATTTTATTCACCTGATAAGAATAATAGTGTTTTAATAGACAGAATCCTACCTAGCAACACCATCCTCGGCTGAATAAAATTAGGAATTTACTTTCAGAAGGCTACTGACAATGGGCACTTTCACTCTACATAAGCCATGTTCAGACGGGGCTTCCTACAGTACATGATACATGTATGTAGTCGGCGTAAGTCGACCAAAATTGCCATCATGTGAACACGGCCATACTCAAACTACATTCCTGACACTATAGGCAATAAAGAAGACCACAGGCTTCATGCAGACTTCATGATCAGCCATGCATAAAGTCTTTTGTCAACTCTGTTTGTTGCTATGGCAGGCATCCAGTTAAAATGAATTTGTTTAATAATCTTCAATTTTCTTTATACTCCTTACCGTTTACCTATATAATGCCAGGTAAAAAAAAAATTAAAGACTTATTCACCCATTAATGTTTTATCCTACGAGGCTGGTGTCAGCGAATTATGACCTACTCTACATGGAAACTGACTATCTCCCTTTAAAGTAATTGACTGATCGAGACTAGGGCAATGAAATTTTGATGTCTTCAGCTCCACCCATTGCATATGTGAGATGCTTACAAATTTGGATCCATTATGAGACCCCCCTACACACAAAGCTTTCAGAGTCTCAAGCAATAGATCTCTAAAAACATTAGATCTTGTCCTGTCTTAAAGGGGAACATCACCCCCATCGTGCCTCACTACTCTCATGGCTATGCCACATCCATGCTGGTATCCTGCATTCATAGCATCAGCTTAAAATACTACATATCAAGGGTTCAGTGACACAAAGACGTAACTCCATATTTTGCTGAAATGAGTATTTGATATCAAAATGTTCAGAAAAATGTGGGCTTTCAAGGAAGCACAAAGACTTAACTTCACCCAACACCCCATTGAAGTCAATGGCTAGTGAAACATAGACTTAACTCCCTAAGGCCCAAGTGCTCAGTGACACATAAACCACTTTTTTTCTCAAAATGCCCAAAATGGAGTTACGTCTTTGTGTCACTGACTCCTCGATATTCAAAAAGATGTTGAGAATTTAAAATAAATTCATGAGAACAAGCTCAAATAAAAAATAACTTGCATTGTCAGAGGTATACCTGAATTTGTGAAGCGTGAAGGTCCATTGTGATGATGTGATCTGCTCCGGCGACGGACAGCATGTTGGCTACCAGCTTGGCAGAGATGGGTGCACGGCTCTGTACACAAAAATAAAATCAGAAATTATGATTTAGTATATAGTAGATACAGAGGCATACTTGTAAATTTAGTAGCTCTATTATCAAAGACTTACATGTAAATGCTTTGAATATGCAGTGCTAAAATCACATGAAGTTCAATTATATGCGAGAATTATTCTGGAAGCTGAGTGACATCTGTTCAAACAGAGACTGCACAGTAAACACACAAAACTTTAGTTTTTCAAATGAAATATTGTCTCAGTTGTACCCAGGACCGGTAATGATGAAAAACAAAGAGGACAAAAACAAAACACATGCTACGATGAGGTGAAACCCATCACCAACTGTCATTATATCAGCAATGATGCTGATCTCTCCAGCTCCATTGAAAAGTTGTTAGTAACAGGCTTGCGCAGTAACAGCATCTAGTAATGACAGACACTGAATGGCAAATCACATTGAAGACCGGCTATCAGGTGTACATGTAGTACTACTGTAGTAATTTGTAGTTATTCTGAGAAGTTTATTGTATTCCCATTAATGTACAAGATTCCCCACCAAAGTGTATGAGAGAGGTATAAAGCAAGACAGTTTCTGAATCACGACATGGGCATCGCCATTTTGTTGATAACATGACGGACTACCCAAAGTTGTTTATCAAGTAAATGTATTCAAATTTATGGATGCTTCCTTCCCAGGTTTGTGTGGTGATTAGGTGTAGTATTTCATTCACCTGCTATTATCTTTTGTATTACACTTGTCAGAGTGCAGAGTGAAGTTTCCTCTAATTGCAAACTGCAAATTGCATTTCAAAGCCCTCTTTCAGTCTTCTTCTTTACATTGCTTATCAATCATTCAACAAAAGTCATTACAAAATACTATGTCAAAATTGCTCTGCTATCAACTCACAAAGCTATAAATCAACAAAATAGCTCCCCTTAAATAATTACATGCCAATTAAGAGTTTACTGTACAAGATAGCCAAGTCAAGTTTATAACTTTTGTTTGGATGTGGAGGAATGGAAGATAGATATGAGACACCCCAAACAGATTTTCTGTTGGCACGTTTGGAGAAAAAAAGAATTCAGCCTTATCAGTAAATCAGAAATTGCTCCTTTTTCTGTTTGTAGGAATTCTGCTTAATTTTTTGACAGCCAATTTGGTTTGACACTCTCCCATTTAGAATGGTCTAGCTATGCCTTTTCTTAGCCTGTTTGAGCCATAAGACCAATATTTCAAGTGTGCACTCGACTTACAGTATCTAATAAATGAACATGTCCGTTCCATCTACATGTAAACATTGCAATCTCGCTCTTGAGCATTCCAATGGAAGATACCCCTCAGCTTACATCATTTCGGATGGAAAAAGTTACATCTTCCCTTGCAGTTTCTATAAAAGACTGACAGTCTAGGACATTAGACCTTGATTTCCAAAATTTTAGATAACTGTGGAAATTGTATTTTCTCATATTAGGACAAAATCACTACTTTTTTAGGACAAGACAGAAGAGGGGACATACACTGCACACATATTCACCAATTCCTACAAATTCATTCTGAATTCTGGGTTTGGGTGAATTTTATATCAGTTAAAACTATAATGGGGCATTTTTGCTACTCCATTTTCAGGTAACCCTGTAAGTTGGGGCTCTGATCGGATCGGTAGATCGGAGCGACACCCTCGCACCTTTGATCGGTATCGGATCAGAAGATCGATCAAAAAAATCGGCCATCTTGGATTATAATGTAGATCTAGGTATCTTCTTTTTTTTTCTTTTTCTTTTAATGACGAAAATTTTCAAAGTTTTTGGCTATCAAATGCTCAAAAAAAATTCATGGCTGGAATTATTTTGTCATTTGGAGTTGTTGTCTTAGACAAATATTATTAATTTCAAAGCCATGAAAAGGCACTAAATATCAACAAACATGGTCTAACACAACTCCAAATGACAAAATAATCCCAGCCATTAATTTTTTTTGAGCATTTGATAGCCAAAAACTTGAAAATTTTCGGCATTTAAAAAAAAAAAAAAAAAAAAAAAAAAATTCTGCCGATTTTTTCCCGATCATTTTAATTGATCAGCGATCAGAAATTATTAACCGATCACCCCTGATCGGATCGGTGTCCAATCCGATGATCGTTTACAGGGTTATTTTCAGGTATATCACACATCAATTTACACTATATCTCCATCAGCAGACACCATCATAATGATATAAGCTGATGATCAGCTGGTGTTTCTATTTTTGTACGCTCCACATCGGAAAGAATCCCTCTGTACATCACCGCATCCGCCCACATCAGTAAGCTACTCGTCTACCCCTTCCAAAACAAACAAAGCTGCTAATGTCAGCCCCCTGCATGTAATGGAATCAGGGTTGGACACACACTTCATCAATCACTGACTGACAGGCTCACACATCGGGACATTGAAGGCGTGTGCAGGTTTGGCACTGAGAACACCATTGTGTACGTGTACAAGTCCAATCATGACGTTACAATCATGACGTTACAATGTAATTGTACATCAGTTTTCGGATCATGTTGCCCAATGGAAAAGAAATTAACCAAAGCACAGGAACCTCAAAAGCAGCATGAAGTACATGAAGTCTTCCACCATATCACTCATATTTCTCTTTTGATAATTCTTCTGCAATTTTGTTTTCCCCAGTCATCATCAGGAACTGCTACAACACCGTAATTTTTGTATTTATTGGGTTGGGAGTCAGCCTGATGTAACAAAATTGGCAATAAATTTGCACAAGCCAGACAAAACAAATCCCCCCAAAAAAAATTGTTAAAAAAATTATATACAGAAATGACTCGATAGAACTGTGCAGAATAGTTGAATTAGAGCTATCAAACAAAATCCTAACAATCAACTTACTTTGTCCTTCTTGTCCTGCCTGGCATAGGGGAAGAGGGGGATGACCGCCGTAACGCGAGACGATGAGGCAATCTTACAGGCGTTGATCATGATCAGCATCTCCATCAGGTTGTCGTTGATGTCGCCACACCCACTCTGCACGATGTAGACATCTTCACCTCGCACGCTCTCTCCGATCTCCACACTGTAAGAATTAAAGAGTATATTCCGGAATGATACATTAACTTTAACTAATCAGTTTGAGTTTTTTTAATCTTCCTCAGAGTCCCTCCACAAAAAGAAAAATGATACAAATACATGTATGCAAATTGCAAAATGTTTATTAAAAATGTCAAATTTGTACCCCCAAAAATGTTATTGAGTGCATGAAACAAGCACATGTAAAATCAACTGTAATCAGTTCAAAGTCTTTCACTAATCTCCAACTCTTTCCATGTGGGTAACAAAAACTGTCTAGGAATTTGAAAATACATGTTTCGAGACGAAGAAAAAAAAGACTAGCTGTTCCTTTCTGAAATTTCTGGGTAAGAATACGTCTTTGTTCATTCCTGAAACAAAGAATTAGAATTTAAGACTTAGACTTTGTGACCTCATAAGTACAAAAAGCACTTGAAACAAAAGTGGTTGGAAGTGGGGAAATTCGAAAATGACTCCCTTGTCACATGAAAGGTTGCTGAAACCCCAAAGTCAGGTCAATGTAAACGGGATTTAAAAAACAAGGCTTGTCAGACGTGGACTAGCATCAACGCTGCAGGTGCTGCGAGAAACCAAAACACAACATGCTGCAAAGAGGTTTTACACAACACCCAAGCTACTCAAAAGTTTGAACCAGGAGAACAAGTACAGGAACCCATTCAGAATCATTCCAGCCATCAAAATGTTGGTGAGATTAAGTTACGTGCGATCCTGCTTCAAAACCAAGGGAGTACAATTGCCTAACAAGAAGGACATCAGTAGAAAAACACTGGAAAAAACCTGATGTTCTTCCAATCCCTGTTTCTACGCTGTTTGCAGACTTCAAGAAGACGTATCATACTCACATCAACATCAAGAGTTCATCCCTCTTCATGTTAAGACATGTCAAACTAATGGGTAAAAGTAATTTGTGTGGATGCTTGTGTGAATATTGCACAAACCTGCAACTGAAAATGGCCATAGTCAACAAGCTTTGCAGCAAATTCAAAACTCAAAACCAATAACAGTCTCATCAAGGATATGTTCCATTAGACAAAACTCAGCATGTGCAACAAACCTTAAACGTCAAGATTATCATGATCCTGATTGCCACTCGCGGCATTGTCAACATTGTGGAGTGAAGGTCCTTGAGAAGCACCTCGAGTCACTTGATGGAGAAACCGATGTAGATTACAGGACTCGGTGGAGTCGATGGGAGATAGTGAAAGTTGGCAACAAATTTAACATGACGCTGAATAACAAGGTAGGCACTGTTCATGAATTGATGTCTAAACTATACAAGGAGACTGAAGGACATGCATGTGGCATCTTCATAACTGGCAATGGCAACACAAGGAGTACAGCAGGTTGATCAATGACAATGACCCACCTCAAAACACTGTCATAGGTGTAGGTGTTCAGGATTTTGCAGAAAATTACGAAGTGCAAGCTGCACACTGGGCACACGAGCAGGCGACGATTCATCCGTGTGTGCCTACATGTACAAGTGCAATTGGCATTCGAGACCTGTCATTCACTCAATGATTTATATCAGTAAAGGCAGAAAGCATGACTATCATGCTGTGAACTAAGGCTGTGCACAACAGTGTAATGAGGTACCTGAGTACACTCCCAGGCTTACAAGCGAATACTTGAATATTCGGATGCCATGTTTTTTTGATTTTTTTTTTTTTTTTTGCCACCACCATACCACTGGAGCAGTATCCAACGTCCATCGCCGTAAAGGCATGCAATTTTACTTTGAGTTGCAGATGACGGCGCCGATTTAATAATAATAATAACAGTAAACAATGCTGTTTTAAAAAACCAAAGATGGCAGAATAATCCATTTTCCTCCGAGTCCAAACAGAAATCCCGACATTTGGATTTTGGTCCCAGTTTCTGAGTGGTGAGTTTGACAGTGCTGGAGTTTGGTAACATTTTTACCGACGGTACCATGCCAGCGGCCGCCGCTCTCCCTGACACGTTAGCGTCGGCCTGGACAGTGATTTTTTTTTTTTTTGCGGCCGAATATTCGAGTACGAGAAATCATACTCGAGTAGTTGTCAACCGTGCGGGTACTCGAGCATTCGACTACACGTCGCAGCCCTACTGTGAACCACTTTTACTTGAATTGTATTAATCATCTTTTAAACGACCACAAGCTTGACATAGATGTTGTCATTAGATTGAGGAGGCGAGTTGGCTCAGTCGGTAAAGCGTCTGCCTGCCGAAACAAAGATCCCGGGTTCCACTCCCACCCAGGCAGATGACTGAAGCCTGCGTTGTGTGTTAACGTTCCTCCTTCCCTTTTTCATAGACGCAGGTTATGTCGAGTGGAAAAACACCCCGTCCCTCAGATAGGACGTTAAGTGGAGGCCCAGTGTACAGGAGAGTCACCACCCTTGCACATTAAGAACCCATTGCACTAGTCGTATAAGAGTAGGGGGAAACCCCGGTGTAATGGTCCACCTGCGCACCCCAATCAGGGCGAGTATACGGCATCTGCAAGAATCTTCAGTATTGAAGGAGGCAGATTATCTTGAAGTAGAAGAAGAAGATTTAGTGATGGATGTGCCACACAATATAAATCGAAAGGACCCTTTCTAGATGTAATTCAAAGTGACATTCCCACTGAAGACCCTTTCTTTGGGTCACGCCATGGAAAGGGGTCTTCAGACGGCGAGTCTGCCGTTATTAAGCAGCTGCACAAAGTGGCAGGACATTGATTCCAACACCTTGTGCCAATGTACACCTTTGTCAAAGAGATCATAAGATGAGGTGAAGACTCATGCAAACCCTTTCGAAGGGAATTTTTTTATGTCCATTCCACCTCTATCAATCGTGACAGACCAGCTCCCAAGAAAGCCATCAACTAAACCAGGAAGATCCCTTGTTTGAAGAATTTTTAATTTTTTAAAATTTAATTATTTAGTTTAGGCCCCCTACACGTAGCACTTAAGCTCGTTCGACTTGTCTCAACCTTGTTTTCAAACCCTTGCGCTTTTTGGCTCTACAAGGGCCCTTCTGATTGGCTCTCGCTGGCTCCCATTTGCCAAAAACAGATTCCGCAATGATGATCCATGATGCATTTCTCACTTACGCATTGCCAGCTTGGGAACCCTTCACCTGCAGAAAAAAAAAATCTCTGTGAAAATGGGGACTTTCCCTTATCATTTACGACGTGACTTGTCCAATTTACGAGGATATCCTCGTTTATGCGGACGATACTCATTCTCTGACCTAGATCTACTTTCACTTGGAGCGCTGCAGGTCCGAGAATAAGGATCGTCCACATTTTTGCATACGTTTCATATTATTTTCTTAGTCTTAGTCTACATGTAGGACTAGACTTCTAGAGTCTATGTAGATGTAGCTTACGCGGAATCCGTTTTTCGCCAGCGCGCAGTTCGGAAAACCAAAACCCGAGAGCGCTCATGAAAAAATATGGACGATCCTTATTTTCTAGGATGCAATTTTGTCCGCGTTTACGAGGATATCCTTGTTTATGCGAACGATCCTCATTCTCGGACCAGCGGCACGGCCCTAGGCCTAACTTAGACCCACTGACTTTCATTTTTCATGAATTTCATTGCATCACATTCACAATTCGCATCATCACACAATCAACAGGATATTGAATAGAAATGGCAAACAAAACGAGACATCTCATGGCACATTCGAAAACATTATCAATAACTATTTATAAAAAATTAACTTTTACCATGTCTCTTGGTTTGAGAATTTCTTGGTCACAACTCTGCCCAGATCATAGCCGAGTCGATTGGCGATCTTCTGCGCCAGATCATGGTGCGATGAACCGCTGAAAACTTTTATGTTCGGCATTCTGGGAGATATTTGCAATTGATCTTCAGGTTTTCCGTTTAAAATGAGAGAATCTACCATCAAGACGCGAATCGGTTGACTTTCAGATGAATTCCCAATGACAATGTCAAAGCACGGAGAATAGTCAGTTTGTATCGCTTTCGTTTAGTGGTAAATTGCGATAAGTTTTGTGTAAAGCATCTATGATCTGGCGAAAGCACCGGTACAAACACATGCGTTTTTGCATTGAGCATTCAAATCATCATCGCAGCATCGAGATCGAGATACATTATAGCCGCGTACGTCACGTCAACACATGCATCGCATGCTTATCACATGTACAAGGCTAGCGAGGCAGGGTCAAGAAGCGCGCGGTTCCGCGCGAATCGTGGTCGCTTTAAACTGTATTGTTACTCTTTCAGCTATTCAATATAAACTATCCGATATTTATTGAAATTCTATATATTAAATCATATAAATATTCAATATACAATTTAAAAGTTTTTATATTATTATTTACATATCTTTGTAACTGTATTTTTTTAATTAATTTACTTCATAATTCGGTGCAATAAACGAGGACGATTCGCCCTCTGGAGCTACGTTGTAAAAGCGGAGATGATAAATCAAAATTATGCGTGCTATGCACTGTTTACCTAAAAGCATCTCATTCGTAAATATAGTGTCCGATCGATGGTATAATGTTCAAAGCCACAATGCAAAACCATTTTGTTTACTTGAAGTGACGACGAGGCCTTTTCGGTGCTGTTGTTGTTTACAGACCAGGTTGATCGTTTTTGTTTGTTGTATACGTTTCTTTTTATTTTATTTTACTATCGTTATAGCAAATTAAAAAAAATTATTTCCTTTGTCGAATAACATCAAGTTGAACTTGAGTTCTTGAATTTTAAATTACGTACTGACATGCAGCCTTTAATAGGATCACTGCATAAGGACTTAGTGCGAAGATAAAGAAAAAAAAACTGACTAACCAGTTCAACTTTAAAAAAGAGGGGAACACCTGACCACGACTAACCATATATCCACAACTATTTTCCTGACCTACTCTTCAAAATGGCAGTGTTGGGCGTCACTAAATAATCAATTAAATGATTATATATTTTATTTTATTTTATTTCAGCATTTTTCCAAATGTAATAACTGAATAACAAAGAACATATAAACGTAATTAGGTATAATACAAAACATACAAACAATAATAACTTCATGTCAACATGTTTTTTTTTTTTTTTTTTTTTTTTTTTTTACATAGTTATGTAAAAATGAAACTTCATATTTCTATAAAAATGACTGGCTATGACTGTACAAATTTATTAACATCAAAACCCACTACAATCAGTTAGAATGAAAAGCGATTAAACATTAATTGCTATAACAAAAAAGTTGAACAACATAAAGAGTTATATAATATAAAAAAAAAACCATACTCTATAAATAAATAAAAAAATAAAAATAAAAAAAATCGAGTGATCACGTCACTCCTCTGGAGAGTGAAAATGTAGTGAAAATAGAGTGAACATTCAGTTTGCTTCTTAATAGAGAGCATTCGAAAATCAATCGATATTCACTCCTACAATAGACGTCACTCCCGGAAAGAACTTTGTGAGTGAAAATTTTAGATTTGGAGAGACAGCATAGGCTTATTAATTGTTTAAAGGGGTCGCATCGTGTGACCATGCCTGTATATACTCTCTTTAAAAAAAAAGAGTGAATTTTCAAAATCACGGACGTCACTCCTCTGGAGAGTAAAAATAGAGTGAACATTCACTCTTTTCTTCTTAGAGAGACTCTAAAATCAATCGATTTTCACTCCTAAACAAGTGATCATGGACGTCACTCCCAAGAAAGTGAAAATAGAGTGAAAATTCGCTCTTTTTTTTAAGAGAGTAAAATGATATATTACATGTCATAACTTTGGCATTAATTTCTTTCAAATGATTTCTCACAAAAATTAGTAAAATAACATTGCGTGATTCAGTGCATGGTAATGTCAGGAAGGGCTTGCTTTTTTGAGCCAAGAGAGAAAAATTTACCCCGTACGATCTTTGGTACCAATTATAATTGTTATAACACGAAAAACAAACTGTTTCCTTTTACTTAGAGCCCGAAACAAGTTTCCGAGTCTCAGAATTGTTTCCAAATTTCACATGACAACGCATATTATAATGAACATTTTTTTTTGTAAATTATAATTCCTTTCCTTTCCTTTGGCTTTCCTTTTCTTGCCTTTCCTTTCCTTTCCTTTCATCTTTCATCTTTCACCTTTCCTTTCCTTTCACCTTTTCTTTCCTTTCCTTTCATCTTTCACCTTTCCTTTCCTTTCCTTTCCTTTCACCTTTCCTTTCCTTTCCTTTCACCTTTCCTTTCCTTTCCTTTCCTTTCACCTTTCCTTTCCTTTCATCTTTCACCTTTCCTTTCCTTTCCTTTCCTTTCACCTTTCCTTTCCTTTCACCTTTCCTTTCCTTTCCTTTCCTTTCACTTCACCTTTCACTTTTCATTTGGCTTTCCTTTCACCTTTCCTTTCTTTCCTTTCCTTTCACTTCACCTTTCACTTTTCATTTCCTTTCCTTTCACCTTTTCTTTCCTTTCCTTTTCTTTCCTTTCCTTTCCTTTCCTTTCCTTTCCTTTCCTTCCTTTCCTTTCACCTTTCCTTTCTTTCCTTTCACATTTCACCTTTCCTTTCCTTTCATTTCCTTTTCTTTCAGCTTTCCTTTCCTTTCCTTTCCTTTCCTTTCATTTCACCTTTCACCTTCCTAGCTTTCCTTTCCTTTCCTTTCCTTTCACCTGTCCTTTCCTTCCTTTTTTCTTTTCTTTTCTTTTCTTTCTTCTTTTTCATCTCCGAATGATCTTCTCATTTATTTATTTCTGCATCTTTCCGTATCTATTCTCTTCTTTCCCTTTTCTTTATTTTTCTTTTTTCAAAAATTATTTAATTGAAATCAATTCAACATTCAGCAGTACAGTTACACCGTGATGGTTTAGCACTCTGAAATTAGCATCCGTGCAGATTAGCACATCCAAAGTCGTAGTCCATGGTACGATTCACTGCGGCTATCAACAGTAAACCATTTTGTGTAGCACACAATAGTTCTACGTACGTACGTATATGGATGCAATGACACAGTGCAGAGCATGAATGGTGTCATGTTATTATGTAATACTGTGGCAGCTAAATGATGTTTTCTACCGAAGGCGTTTAAGTGTAGACTGATGAGTGAGATTTCAAGTTTTGGTGTAGCCCCTCCATTATCTTAGCAAATATGGCTAACATTGCTGCAGGCAGAATACAGAGGGAGCTGAGGGAAGTCATGAATAGTGATGAGGTATTTTTTTTTTTTTGAGTTGTCATTGTAATTTGTATTGACATTGCATTGATTGAGTCTTGAGAAGTGTGAGAGATTGATTAGGCTCAGCTCAGCTGAAGTTCAATTAGTGTTCATAAGCTGTTTGGGGCTTAATTTATCTGTTAATACAATATTTATTAAATCAAAACCAAGGTAGACTCGTACTCATAGACCTGTCAATTGTGTCATGATCATTCTAGACCTGTCCTTAGTCTATTTTATATTAGATCTAGGTCTAGGCCTATTAATTTTATTTTTATTTTAAATGCCAGTGGTAACACTAACACTAGTAACAGTGAAATATATTTAAAAAAAGTTAGACATGTTATTGATCATGTCTATGTTTGACTATTTGTTGACTGTACTCTGTAGTCTTGTTGACTTGTACTTTATTATAGGACTCTTATGAGTGCATTTTGGTAATGGTAATTTGTCCTTGGTATGGCAGTGCCAGTGGGTCCTTAAAACGTATTTACATGTAAAGATACATATACGTAACTTCTGGCAGAGAGTGCCCTTACTAAATTGGCCGACAGTAACACTCAAAGACAGAAGGGAAGCACACCGTCTTACCTGCCTCTTCAAAATGACAAATGGACAACTCGACATAGACTACCAATCTTACACCAACCCTATTCCAGACAGACGTAGACAAGGACAATCCAACCAATTTGAAATCCGTCACATCACCTAGGAGGCGAGTTGGCTCAGTTGGTAAAGCGTCTGCCTGTTGAACCAAAGATCTCAGGTTCGAATCCCACCCAGGTGGATGACTGTTCAAAACCTGCGTTGTGTGTTAACGTGCCCCTCCCCTTGTTTCATAGAAGCAGGCTATGTTAAGTGGAAAACACTCCCTCCCTCTGACTTTAAATGGAGGCCCTGTGTAGAGAGAGTCACTACCTTTGCACGTTAAGAACCGACTGCACTATTCGTATATTAAGAGTAAGGGGAAACCCAGTATAGTATGACAATACTCTGTTAAGAGGGATTTACTCCAATGGAAGAAGAAGAAGAACTCGAAAATATTATTATTAATAATCTGTTATATTCAATGTTTTGTCTTTCTTAATTCATATTTATAAGGGGACTTATGACCCAAAGTTCAAACACCGATTAGTTCTGCATGTTTTGGGTTCCATGGTGGAATTCAAATTCATCAGATTCAAGGATGTACATATATTCTATATGAGATTTTATTTTGAAGACAGAGGTGAAAGTGATTGTGTTGACTTGATGTAAAACACCCCCTCCCCGAGTCCCCCCACTTATGTTCATTATTTGAATGTCTCATATAGACATATACAGAAAACTCTCATCAGTTTGGGATAATGATAACATGTACTTTTAAAGCTTCTACCAACCTTAATTTTGTTATGCAAGCTTTGATTGATTGATTGATTTTTATTCGACAAGCTTCCAACATACAACAATATACAATAATAACAGATCAAAAATAAGTCAACTTTCATCCACTCCTGTGGAGTTTCTCAAGCAAGTGATCAGTTTGAGTCGCATGTTTGCTTCGCTGCACTGCCTGGTGTCCTGCGATCACTGGACCAAAGATCGGTGACAATAGGTACCCAGAGTCCCTGTTTAGTGATGGCTTAATCTTCTTAATCCATATGGGTGCCAAAATTCAAAAATATCTGTATTGACCTATGAAATATTTTTCACTTGAATCAAAGATGACATTTTTCAGAATACCAATCCAGCTCCTTGATAAATGATTATATTGATATTGATAAAGTTTTGTTTTTCTTAATCTTGCTTTTTTCTCTTACAGGCTATTAAAAATCAAATAAAGATAGAATTTCCAATCGATGATTACTCGGAGCTTCAAGGAGAGATTATAGGACCGCCAGAGACACCGTATCAGGGCGGTAGATTCAAGTTACACATCAAAGTCCCAGAGACGTACCCCTTTAATCCACCTCAGGTAGGTGACATGGATTTTTTTCGCTTTCACGATTTTTGTTATTGTTGCATTTAGGTGCCAGCTAGCCAATGTAATCAACTACTCATTATTACAATTTAAACTTTATTTGTTATTGGTAGACTAAATTAGGTATTTTAAAGGGGTTGTGGCCTAGGCAACGCTGCCCACGACAACATGAAATCTAGGATCATCCCTCGCCACCTTCAACTCGCTGTGCGTAATGAAGAAGAACTCAACAAGCTTTATTTCACCAGGCTGTGGATTACATGATTTGTGGTTTGAGTCCTGCTGGCGCACTAATGTTCTTAGCCTGTTTTTAGCTGGACATTAAAGATATAGACCGGTAGCAGTAAAATTGCGGTTCAAGGGTTTCGGGTGCAAAATATACATTCAATATAGCCTTCAGAGGTTTAGATGGCAATACTTCAACCTAAATTTGCATAAAAGCAGAAATATATGCCAAAATGTTCAATGTTGAAATGCATTTGCGATATCTATCCAGGCCGACTTGATATGATAATTTACCAATATATCAATTAGTAGGCGGTTCCCCGGCAAAATTTGTATCATCACGTATTAGTCAAAACATGTTCTTTCACATGATTGGTAATAGGAGCTTCCATTTCTTTTTTTGAGAGGGGGGCGTTTCCAAAACTGGTCTATACCTTTAATCTACATTTGCTACTCTCCACTCAGGTGTAGTAAATGGAAACCTGGTATGAATTCATTCCTTCGATGCTTTTAGCACCAGAGGGCAACTGGGCTAAGCCAAAACCAGGTACTAGGAAAAAATGAATTTCATGTTTCTGAGGATGGAGTTGACTAACTGATCTTCCCCAAAACAGCTTACCAATGTATACAGGTTGCTACTGGAGCATATTGGACTGAATGGCTATTATTCAACTTTTGTTCCCTAACAGGTAAAGTTTGTGACCAAGATTTGGCATCCGAACATTAGCTCCGTGACAGGGGCCATCTGTTTAGACATACTCAAAGACCAGTGGGCAGCGGCCATGACGCTACGCACCGTTCTACTGTCATTACAGGCATTACTAGCAGATGCAGAGCCTGACGATCCCCAGGATGCTGTAGTAGCCAAACAGGTATGCCCCCTAACCCCATCCCCTTTATCCCCTCCCCTCCCCTCATCTCCCTACTTACCTGCTGCTCCCCTCCCCTCATCTCCCCCTCACCTGACCCTCACCGCCCTCCTCTTACCCAACCCTCCCTTACAAAAGCTCCTCACTTCATCCATTCCGTCACTCCCTTCCCCAAATGCAGTTTTACTCATGATGAATGAAAGATATAGAAAAAGGTTAAGGATGCATTATTTCTAGGGGGAAAATGTGCAAAAAAAAACCTTTTCCATATTTTGTAATTATTCACCCTGCTTATTACAATTGAACTTATTTGTTCCTGTGAAACCTGGTTGACAGTTCATGATATTTCCATTGCAAAGCTTTGTGCAAATAAATTTGAACATTTACAGACTGAAGTGGCAATAATGTGTTTTGAGGGATTAAAAGCAGTTGACATAATATTTTGTTTGGTCCATTCCTATGATATTAAACTTCTGAATGTTTTAAACCCAAAAGGCTTATTTGGATATGATGTGGCAAAACCACTGCTTTTTTTTTAATGACGCAAATTGTAGTGCGCTTTGCATTTCTGTATCTTATACACAGAGATCAGTGAATATGCGAAAGCCCTTTGTTACACATGGTTGCCTTTCATTTACACGTTTAAAAATACTGTGGCTTTTTTGCGGCAGCTTACAGCACCATATCTGAAACAGCCTTGAATTCAAGTATTGCTTATATTCCGTTGGTCATTTCTTGTTTTATCAATGTCCAGTACAAGGATGACCATGATGAATACATCAGAACAGCCAAACATTGGACAACAGTCTACGCAGGGGGTAACACCAAAAATCAAGAATTGGAACAGAAAGTTAAACAAATTGTAGAAATGGGTTTTGAAGAAGTGAGTATATCTGTATTTTACTTCCTTTCTCCTCTAATCTGTTGAAACTTCTCATATCTTGTTGGAAATGCATATTGATGGTAGACTATGGTATGACCATGATATGAGCTATGGAACTTAGAGTCTACAAATATGTGTTTACCCAAAATAGATTATATATAAATCAGATGTTTGGAAGATTCTTACACCAGAACAAAACTTTTATATTAGTGTAATATCAGTGGTTAAATTGGTGTTGAACTTTCACATATTCACATTTGAAAAGTTAAAATTGTGATGCAGGCTGTCTTCATTGAAATGGCAAAAAAAGATTAAAGGGTTAGTCAGAAACATTATGCCATTCTCAAAATTAGAGATTATCTTTCATGATCAATCAAATACTGTAAGTTTATATTGGTTCTCAAATGTTACATGCAGCATGGAGCAAATTTTTGATTGTTTTGACTTTAGCACTTGATAATATCTTGCAAGTTATTGCCTTGTATTTCAATTTTTTTTTATAAAATCGGTCAACAACTACCATTCTCTGACGCAGCTTTTTGATACTATTTACCATAATTCAACATTTATTTTTACCCTTCTATCCTCCTTATTCCTTCTTCACAGACATGTGCAAGGGAAGCATTATCTTCATCGTGTTGGGACGTAGCAAAAGCCATAGAAAACCTAATGAGTTGAGAGTTACTTTTCTATTATCTTCATGTATATTTTCTTCTTCTTTTTTCCTATATGTAATTAATCTTATTTAACTAGAAAATAAGAAAATCGAGGTGCTCTCTGAAATGTAAGAGAGAGAGAAAGATGGAGGTTGTGAATGTTGCTCTGTTAACCCATTAGGGACTGGAACCAGGTGGTTCTTATATTAAGCATGTAGGGGAATGGGAGAACTTAATAGTCAAGGGGTTAAATGGTACCCGGGCAGAGGTAACGTTCTTGTTACAGTCCTGGGGTGTTCACTCCTCAAGAAAAACTACAGTTTGCTCAGCTACCTTAAGGAGCCACCTTAAAGTGCTTAGAAAAGGGGTTTTCCCTGATTATGCATTTATTAGGGAGGTTTGTTCGCATAGAAATCCTATCCCTTTCCTCCTTTTCTCCCTTTTTTTTTATAAATAGGGAGTCATTTTGAAATCCCAGAACAGACTTGTGTTATACCACAAAAATTCATTGTGAACATCCCAGTGATTTTGGATGTGTGATCAAGGAGGTCTTTGAAGGATATCAGCTATTTTAGGTACTTATCTGACAAGCATAACAAAAATGATATTTATGATAATAGGGAGTGGGACACGGTTAAATTAATAGAAAAGTAAACAATTGTGCATGACCTTATGATGAATGCTGCGCTGTACCCCAGGGCCATTGTGCATATATTATTTCATCCGTGCCGTTAATTTCAGGGCCAAATCTTCGAATTGACAGCACTGATATTTGATTTCCTTTATCACTACATTTTTGTCATGAAATGCTGTGTATCCAGAAATACTAAACATAGACAGTGTCTTTGCATAAGGCATGTACATGGTCCCCTAGAAAGGAATTAATGCTGTTGGTCATTTGGTAATTTTGAACTAATCCGCCTCAATGAAACTTGGTAAGTAATCACTACACCACTACATAGCATACTATGTTCTTAGGTATATGCACTGCAAATGCTCACAGCATAAACTGCAAACTGAAATACAGAATGTTTTTTGTTTGCATTAGCCACCATCAAGATATTGCTCATGAAATCTGTCACAGCTGGTCTTATTTTAACTTGTTTCTTAGATCATTAATGAGATTTCAGTAACTTTGTACAATATTACATTACCATCATATCAGGGTCAATATAGGGATTCCCCATTTATTGTTGTTACATACAAGCATCCCGCCCTGTCCAAGACCTCATACCGTAATTAACGTTGTATACACCGCCCTCGTGTATTAACCGCACCCCTCTTTTTCGCCCTCAAAAAAAAAAAAAATTGAAAGTGTAAGATCTTTAATGTAAATTAAAAAACAGTAGAGGACCTAGGATAGAACCTTGTGATACGCCATGTGTAATAGAAGAAACATTGGAGGAATTATTATTATAAATTACATATTGAGATCTATCAGAAAGATTACTTTCAAACCAAGATGACAGACAAATTTGAGTGTTGTTCTAGTTTTCGAGTGGTGAGTCAACACACCGATTACTGAGCTGGGAGACATTTGTACCGTGTATAAGACGCACCCCCGACTTTGAATTTTTTTCGGCGGCAAAAAAGTGCGGTTAATACACCGTTAATTAATACCTTTTCTGCCGTGACAGAATGAGCAGGTTTGATGTGATTCAGGGATTGAAAAGAGAAGTAGATTCTGGCCAGGAAAAAGAAGGCACTGCAGCTGCCATAGTCTCAGTCATGACAATTTTTTAGCTGAATCATGAAAGGATATTAAATTTTTAAGAAACATGTACATGCAAATGTTTATGTTCTTTTCATTTTTTAATGAGAGTCTGGTAAGGACTTAAAAAACTGACTGCAGTTCTTGAAAATATTTTCTTCCCTGATCAACTTTGGTTTCTCTCAAATTTTATTACATAAATTAAAGCCTAGGTCACAAATGCCATAACGAACTGCTACGAATGCCGTACAAACGATTTTCAGACAATAGAAATTCAGGAAGACAATGGAAACACAGGAGGATTCGTACGAAATTATCGTCCATACGAACCTTTGTGACCAAAGCATTAATGATGCCTATTAGATCAATTAACCCACAACTAATGGTAAACAGGTATGGAGACGTGTATAATTACATTTTCCCCACATAAGATATGTTTAAAACTTCACCAAAGTGTGGAGGTAACATTGAAGGAAAGTAGGCTAGCACTGTTACAAGGTATCTGAGTAGGTTCCTTGGTCCCACCTAATGACTTTGATTTTGGGTATGGTAGAAGTTGCGCTTGATTCCAATGCAGAAATATGTAGAAATCACAGCTTGTGAGGTAGTATTAATATCAGCTCACGACAAGGTAGCCTAGAAACCGAGTGGAAAATTTAGATGTCCACTCGATAGCGTTTAATAGTCCTGGGATTGATTTTATATCTGAGGGACATTTTTTTAGAAGCATCACATGGTAGGTGGCTTTATATCTCTTATCATTTATAAAGAAAATCAACCAACCAACAAAAAAAGTCAAAAAGAAGAAGAAGAAAAAATAGAAAAATGATGTAAATTTTGTGTAAATTTGTTAGGTCAGTACTGACGTACTGGTTCAGATTATTATATTATGTAGATGCTTGGCCAATTAAACTTTGGAGGCAAAGAAGTGAACTCCTCGGTTGCTGTCATTTTTTATATAAAGTGTATATCTTTTATTCTGTACTCGTCTGATATTGATGATTAGTATGTGGAGCCGTGTCTCGGCACACCTACAAAGCCAAATGTTATGGTTTATTCTTGCCCTGGACACGCCACTTTATATACTCCCATCTTGTCTGTGTACAAGGTATTTAAGTTTAGAATACCAAGACAAATGGATTAATGTATTCATTCATTGATTTTATAGTACACTGTATTAAAAGCTAATCTTGAGTTCTGATAATGATGTAGTAGAGATTTTCACAACAAACAACGTTTATTTAAGTCTTGAACATCTTTGCTCTACCTTTAAAATGATTTTGGTAAAAAATCTTCAATACTTAAGTTATGAGCCAAAGAATTAAAAAAAAAGTGCTACATGTAGTAGTCCCTCCTACACACGTGCATAACATGCAGTATAAAGCGAGTTGCGATTCTGAGGGAACTTTACTTCCAGCAAGTTTTTTTGTTAGTGTTTTTCTTATTGTGCTTATCAAACTACCAATCTTCTCCACAGTAAACAATTAATCTATTTATAAAAAAAACTATTCCATTTACTGAACTCAAGATCAGCTTTGACAGCCATGTTGTATCTTAATGTGATGAGAAAGGCCTATTTTGTGTTATATTTAATTTTTGTATACGGTAAGTAGAATGGAAACAGAGATGTCATGTGTCGATTAGTTATCTTTTATGCCAGAGATTGTTTCCTAGCTATGAGGAAAACCAGAAACCACATGGCATGAAACTTTCGCAAATTGCTACGGATGACTCTTTTTCAGCAATAAAGTTTTGCGAAATTAAAAAAACTTCATGCTGTAATGCTATCTACATGCTATTCTCATATTTTGTGGTATGAAACTTTTTTTAAATCTTGACCACTAGTAAAAATTTTCGAAAGTTTTGTGCTCATGAAAGCTTGTGGTTTAGAGTATGGAACGGTGTACTGTACTTATCAGTGTGGATCAATCAGCTCATGTGACGGAAAGATGTACGTTTAGATGTAGATTTAAGTTTAGTTCATGGAGAAACCACACCCATGGTTCATATAGTCAAAGGAATCCCCCAGGCCTGCCTAGCTGCAGAATAATATCTTATTTTGTAATTTTTTAAGTTTAACAAAGATTGTATAAAAATTTAGGAAAGGACATATTTTCGATTATTTGAGGATACACCTGGGCTTCTAGCGAATGCCTTTCTGTGTTTTTGTTAAAGGAATACCCATGTTACCATTTTCTTCATCAAAATTTCCCAAAGTACTTATTTCTATTTTGTACCTTTCAAGAAAAAAACAGGGGTAGTAATAATGGTGGTATATTTGATGATTTGAATACACTGGTACACTGTTCATCTTAAAATTATATCAACTTATGGTAAGAATACAGCTTCACTTAGTGATGAGATTTTGTTCATTACAACATGAAACCAGCATTATATCCAAAGTTTATTTATAACTTTAAAGTGCATTATTACCTACATGTACATAACACCTGACACTCCCGACATACTCTTTGTTTAGCATTATATTTTATTCTTACTTTCAAAACTAAATCTTTTTGAGAAATATATGTAACCAGTATTTAATCTTATACTAAATTTAGCATCCCATGAATATATTTCAAGCCTTTCAAGTAGTAAAGTGCCGGTGGCAGTAAATTGGATTAGTAATTTTAAAATGACATTTTGGTTAAACTTACAATAATGTATTTCCTTAGCGAAAAGCTTATTACAAACATTTCTGAAATGCAAATGTGGCAAAGCTCTTGGTTGTGATAATGGGAAAGTGTTTTCCTTGACTTCTTGTTTGCTGTAATTTTGATGTGAAGCTGAGGCGAGTAAATTGTAAAATCTTTTTGTTTCATTTGCCAAACTAACAAATTCACTAACCCAAGGCAGCTGCTTTCAGGTTTGGAAATTACCACCCAGTTATGGTGTTAACAAACTTCATACTCAACACCAGATATACTGGTGTTAGTGATAGGCATAGAGTTTGTAATGTGCTATCACTAGACACTGACTATGAATGGTGTTGTTAAACTCATTTTCAATGGAATTAATTCATAAAAATAACACATACTACCTATATTGCCAATGTGGTTCATTAGGGAGTGTATGTTTACTGTTTTTTTTTTTAGTACATCAGCTTTTAACACTAAACACCAAATGCCCTATGTAGCACCCAAGATAATTGAGCGACCTGTGTTCAAAGTCATTCAACAGTTCATTTGCTTAAACATCATACACCTAATGCAGCACGATCCATGTTAATCACAATAATGATTACTCCAGTAAACATCTGAAATTCAATAACCACCAGCAGTTAATAGATGTTTGTTCATTTTAACGACGAAGCTCCACTTTTGCAATGCATCTGTGTTTTTTTTAATTTTTTTTATTTTAGAGATGATTTTAATTCATGAAACGTTGTATTAACTCTTTCCCCTTTCCGTCTCTGGTCAGTCTGATGTCATGTGATCTTGATTTTGTCGATGAAGATACTGTTACCAAATACTGTGTACAAATTGCACTGTTAATTATGTAATTAAAGAAAAGCTCTAAGCATTTGGGACTTTTTGTCTCAGCTGAAAAATATGAAAAATAGATCACTTATTATAGTCGATTGTGTTTTTATTAATGTTAGTGTTAGTACATGTAGAAGTGATGTGCGGATATAATTATTTGCATGTATGGGAGGGATGAGAGAGAGAGAGAGAGAGAGGGGGGGGGGGACTCACTCACAAACCACACATGTGTACACATGCAGCAAAAGACAAAAAAAGAGGAAGAAGGGGAGATATATAGAGGAAGAGTGAGAGAGAGGAGGGGG